AATGCAAACTCAAATGAAAATGCCTATTAATAGACTAGTGAAAACCAGACATAGCCAACTCCAGGCTGTAAAAAATGAGCTCATTGCAAAGAACAGAGGCATGGGTTGGGTCAGAGAAAATCTGATAAATACAGATGTGACTGTATGCTCACACATCACTCCACAGCATGTCGGCTTACTGTTTGCCAGTGTGGCTAAACAGAAGGTTTACTGGCTCTGTGGTTCCTGTAATGTTAGAGTGAAACAAGAGAGCTTCTGATTTGACCAGAGATACCTCTCTTAGTCAGTTTGTGTGCTAGTGTCTGTGTGTGTTTGAGAGCACGCCCCGACCAAATGCAATTAGTGTGAAACCACTTAAGACACACGTTGCTGTTAATATACCCAAAGAGACAATAAAACCTTCACAAGGAAAATTGAGACCAGAATGAGACTGGAAACCAAAAAGAAAGAAGAAACTGGACTCAGTTGTGAAGAAGATGATGACGACTACAAAGAAACCATGACAAGGATAGTGATGACAATAAGAGTGCCAGAAGGCTCACTGTAATCCCTTTAAAGTACAGACACTGAGTGTGGCACGTATATCACTGTTAGTCAAGCCTTCTTCTTTCCATTTCTCTCTGATAATCAGGTCCTGACGTCTCCTTCAATCCGGGCAGCAGGCTGATTAGTGTGACGCACTGAAGCAGAACCAGGCAAACGAAGAGCAGTGTATTGATTGTCACAGTGACCTTTCCTTTGATACTGTTCTAGAGATGTGGGGGGTTGCCATTCTTTAAAACTCTGGCTCACCAGCAGCCAACGTGGCTAAAGACAGGAGGGCTGCCCTGCACAAATGACATTCATAGCTTTCACACAGTCAATTGTAATCATTGTGGTCTCAGCGGGGTGGCACCACCACACAACAACCTTCAGCTCGGTCCTCTTAAGTAGGGGCGGGACGATAATCAATATAACTCCCCATGCTTATGAAAATGACAGCCTGCCTTAATGCAGTAACACAAGCTTCAAAGGATGTGTTATTTTAGTAATATAGAATTGTGGAGATAATAGTGTAATCATTTTTGACATGATAATGGTTTAATATTTATTTTATATCCCTATATACTTTGATTTTATCTGTCCTTGGAAATCAACCAGCTGCCATACAATGAATAAGGTCATCAATAGTGGTTGTGTGTAGGGTTTCATTGTATTTTATCTAAATCTAATCCAGTATTGAATCCACTTATCAAATATGTATCCTTTCAGAGCCCTTAGCATATGTATTTAGGTGTAGCTTTTAGCCATTTAAAATGCGAACATTCAAAGATTTACATTAGAAAAATAAAAACCTAAAAAACAAAAGTTTTTGTCAAACATATCGTATTTGTGCTCATAAAAAAGAGATAAAAGTATAAAAATATATTAAACTGAGAGCTTAACAAATCCAGGTGTTTTACCAACTTGGAAATTAATCCAAAATGAAACGGATGTCGATGTTTGTGTCTTTCTGTGTGTGTGTGTGTGTGTGTGTGTGTGTGTGTGTGTGTGTGTGTGTGTGTGTGTGTGTGTGTCTGTGTGTGTGTGTGTGTGTGTACTACACCTCTGAAAGTGGGGCTGTGTTGCTATGTAGTGTGATAGCACTTCAGAAGGCAATGGAGTTGGCAGTTGACTGAAGCTGTGCTTGTGGGTCTAGTGGAAGGGGTAGGAGACACATACAGTGGATATGCAGGGTGAGGGAGGTGAAGATTTGACTGTAAAAACCACTTCTGGAGATTGAAGCATGGTTGGTTGGGTGGTTGGAAATGACAAAGAGGAGAAGAAGGGTCTGTGGTTGAGGCGCATGCCAATAACGGCAGTTACAGATCTATATTTGAAACAGCTCATAAAAAAAGCCAGTCCATTCTCATAAGTGGTAGAGAGAAGTAGTAGTAGAGAGAAAATAACGAGGATGTGGAGGAGGGACGCAGTAGGACCAACAGGGGATTTGACATTATTGGCAGTTAAGACAGGGAAAAGACATCTGTGGAAGGAATGGGTAACCCCAAGAAGCCATGCGATCCAGATGGGACAGAAGCAGGTAGGCAAATGTGTTGATTTCATTGGTATGAATGGATAAAACAAAGAAGAGAGGCAGCCATGATTGAGGGGAAAGTTAAAAATCCAAAGCGATGTAAGTTTGTTTCACTTATGATAATTAATTTTAACCATTCACAGAGATCAGAGCATCTGAAAAACGACATTTAACCAACCAACCTACACGCACCATCAGTGGTGCATTATAGGTTTGAAAGCAGGAGAAAACCAACACAGCAGCAAGACCTTTGTAGAAGGAAAAAAGGGCGGAAGTGAAATTAAAAGTTGAACGGCCTCCAGCTGATGGTTTAGATGAAAATAGGGGAACCGACTGTCCTGACTAAATTTCTACATCACAATCAAACAATTTACTTTCATTAAACAACCAAACACAGCTTGGAAATGTGTTGGATTGTAGGTTTGTTAATCTATGGTGCATACACACACAGATAAATTGAAAAAGATTGGTGCAAGTACTGTGTGCAAGCACAAGTGTGTCGATAATACTCTGCGCTACCTCAACTGTCAAGACGCCTTTGTGGGAAGTGTTTAAGCTGCATCTGCTCCAGTGAAGCTGCTCACTTGAAAACTCTGAAACATCTGACATGCAGAAAAGAGCTCACAAAAGGCTTTTGTGATCAGCAAAATCCTTTCCTGGGTACATAAAGAAAAAGAAAAGAAATTACCTCCTTTCAAATCAAAATCAACCCACATGAACTGTCTTATAGTGTAGTCAATTCGCTGTGCTATTGAGCCTGTTTACGGCATGAAAACTGAGAAATGAAAATAAATATGCAGTGGATCCTGGTGTGATCAAATGATGAAATCACTCCAGATTGGGAAGCCCCTGTATTCCCTTAGCTTCAGTCACGCAACCCACCGCAAATGGGGTTTTATATTATAGCGAATTATCTCCTCCCGGGCAGCAGAAGGTTGAGATAAAGAGAGGTCTGTTAGCAACTCACTGGATCAACATCAGAGATTGAGCTATTGGTGATGTGATGTGGTGGGGTGCAGATGATCGCACTGCTGATTCAGCTAGTTTGGAAACCAGAAACCAAAGACCCCGGATCCCCCTGCCTCCATTCTCAACCATACTTTGTCAAACTTCCCTTTAATCCTCAACGACCCCATGCACGCCAGACGCACACAAGGCACCGCCACAACCATCCCCCCCCCGCTCCTCCTCACCCCTGGGAAAACCATCACTGCTCACCACACCTCCATCTCCAATTTAACCAAAAAACCTCATGTTTGGTGCCAGGCAAGGCCCTGCCTCAGATGATCCCTCATGTAACCTCCAGCTCTGAGAGCTTAATTCAAACTCAGTTTCAACATTACCTTACAATCAAGCTGCAGTCACGGTTCTCAAGACTTGAGGGTGGAAATCAAATAACTGCACATTATGATCAGACGTCATTTGGGTTTCCATGAAAGAAGCCAATTCAAACTGACGTGCCATGTAGACATTTTTAAAAAAGGGGAGAAAAAAAGGAAATTGCACACACTTTCATTGGCATGTGTCTACTTCAACAATGTTCAAAAGCAACAAGATTTTATTTCTCTTAAGTGTGAGCAGGTCTGCTACATGTTTTTACACTGAAACAGCTTGGTCTTCATCTTCAGCAAGCATATACAAGGAAGCGTTTCTCTCATGGAGGTTTCCCATCCTCCTGTGTAAGTCACATCTCTCAACACAGACGAACATAAAACCGATGTGCTGGCGAAACATCCCAACAACAAACAAACCGGATTTAAAACTGAGCTGATAACTATACCCACGATGCATCATGTCTAAGTCTAATCTGATTTTATGTGGCATATTCAGTGCAGATTCACGTGAGGGAATTGTATAGCATTCCTGCCATCTCATTTATCTTTTGTGATGGCAGACATTGGTCACATGCTTCTCTGTTTCCACACTAACCCAGTGGTCCAGTAACTAAGCATGCAATCTGATGGGATCTCTGCCAGGATTTCTGATGTCCATTCATCATCCATAAGACACACACCGTTTGCATGCTTACAGGCTTTCCTTGAATCTCACATCTCTCCCAGAGGCAGGGCGAGTCTAGGAGTCTAGAAAAAAAGGGTTTTACACACATGCATGTACAACCCTTGTATAACAACCCTTCTCTGTAGAGGACAAAGACAGGAGGTGGGAACTTTGGAAAATTCAGTACAGGAAAATCAAATACATTAACTTTGTGGTGTGAGACGAATGAAGAACAGTGTTAAGTTGAAAAGCTTTGGCAGCATCCACTGGTGGAAGAACGGGCTGTCGTTTTTTTTTTTTTTTTTACATGTACTTTTATCTACAAGAATTGTTCACCAACATAACTTCACATATATTAATTGCACTTAATTAATTTTGTTTTGGAGACTGACATTGCGTGGAGACAGCTATTGAAGGACCCGATTTAGTGCAGACAACAAATCTCTCACTTCACCCTCCCCTTCCAAGCACAAAGGAGAAACTACGGTGGACCTGTGAACGCCCCTATCTGGTGCCATTATTTGGTTTGTCCCTTCTGGGCTACTGTACAAACATGGTCAACATGGTGGACCCCATTGAAGGCGACCGGCAGCGCCAGTATATGTATAACTTATCCTAAGTTAACAAAAACATAAGTTATTTTCAGGTGATTATACACAAATGAAAACATAGTTACGCATATTATATTTTATTTCTGCCAGTAGATCCTCTAGAGTACACTTTAGCATGCATATTAGGGAGTGTATACATAGAAGATTGACACCTTCATTTGTAGGTGATTTCATTGAAAGACAGCACAAAGGATGAAAACATGACAGATCTTAACACTGTTCCTTTATTTCCATGTCAGCTGGTATGGGTGTATCTATGGTGTTGGCTTTTAATATCAGTGTTAGTGCGGCTGTACGCATGACAAGAGTGACACCTAGTGATCAAACAGAGACAGTTCTGTTTAAGAAGATTTTAATTTATTCTTTCACATGGACATGGATATATTAAAACATGCCAGTATTGTGACTCAGAATACAGATTTACATAAGAGTCAAGCCCACACCCACAACTTTACTTTAAGAAAGGATTTATTTCACTGCATGAAAGACATATATTTTGTTGCTACTGACGTGAACCTGTGACTAGAAATGTAGAGACTTGGAAATGGATGCAGTCATATACTCTTGATATACAGTTACATCTGAAGTGAGTCATGTGACAACATAATGAACTTCCTTTAGTCTATTTGAATCATTGACCAAATTCACAGTTCAGAGTTCTACACTTTTGTCTGACAATTGTGATTGTGAACTTGATTGCCTCCCTGAATACTCAAGTCTGGCTTGATGGATTTTATTCCCTTTATGGTTGACAAGTATTTAAGGAAAGGTGCTTTACAATACTTGATCATGTTATTGCTGTCCAGTTTCCATTAGTTAGCGAGCAACAGGAAGACAAACGTGAAGAGAGACTGTCCCAACAGCAAAGACTAGTCTTCCTAATGGTTGGTCTTCTTTGGGACAGTGTCAGAGGAATTCACTGATTTGTTTCCACTTTAAAACACATTAAAACATTTGGAATTGAGTCACAAAAGAACATTAAACTCAAGTTACCACACAGATAGTAAACTCCTGAGTCAAAAACAAATCCATATCTCCCCATAAAACAAACAAACAAACAAACAAATCTTATGGCAAGGGTCACATCCCCCGGGGAAAATGTCATCCTGTTTTAACTTTATTGTTCAAACACACACACACACACCTATAAAAAATAAATCTGATCAATCCTCTCATTAATGTTGTTTTCAAAAACTGGATAGCTGATACTACAAAAATGTTTAATTATCTGTGGTTTTAAACCAAAAAAATATTTGTTGTAGAGACTATTCATTTCTTAAAAAACACTGTCCTTACTCTGTTCTCTTACTTGCTTCACCGGTTTGATCAGTTTAACATTCTTTAAAATCACATATATACTGTAATATTTGCTTATTTTTACATCACTTAGTGAATAAAATGCATCTAAATTGCAGATTTGTTTGAAAGCTAAGAACAATGTTATATAGTAAACACAATTTGTGTTATATTACATATAAAAAGGAGAGACGAAGGGACAAAGCGTATTTCAGAATCAGTTTGCATAATTGAAACATAACTGGTTCTTAAAAAAGCAGATCACATCACACTGTAAAACTGTATAAAAAACACAAACTCTTTTTGAATGTGCCATTTTCAGGTATATTTCTCTGAGAATGCACACACCATTCTTAATTGTAATATTGGATGCACATTATTATTATTATCATCATCATCATCCACACAAACAACCACACCAAAAAAGTTTAGAGATGACTGTAACCTGTATTATTAACTTTTTGAAACTGACAACAACTGAGGTACTTTTGAAAAAAGTATCTTAGAATACTAAGACAATATAAAAAAACGGAACACAGTGCTGGTGAGGTTTTGGCAGTCAATGTGGCTCAGCTAACAAGAGGGCTGTTGTCGTTCTGATCTATAGCAGGATCCTCCTCCTCTGAGAGAATAGGCTCTGGATCTTTTGCCTCTTTAGCAACATCCACTCCGATCAGACCCACCACCCTGAAATGGGTATAAGACATGTGATACATTACTGTCTCTACCAATTCCAACTAAACTGGGTAACTGTCAGCAGTTTCAACATAGCTTCTTTGTTCAAACCTGCATCAGCATTTCTGACGTAATAACATTTCCATTTCCATTTAAGTCTGATGTTTCGAGAAACAGGAAACAACCCATAATTGGAACAAGAAATGTCCTGTTTTTCATTCACATGTACAAAGTTACCAAATATCACCTGGTGCATACACAAACAGTAAAATATGCAGTTCAGTTTTGTGGAATTGTGAAAGTAGTTCCCTTTAGCTAAAAGAGTACTGAACATACAGAATATAGGCAGTTACAATGTACTCCTAATAAGTAAAAAAAAAAAAGTGGCTGCAACATACAGTACAGATTTAAATTTTAAAACTGTAGTGTACACAGCAAACTGAAAATAATGTGTTGCCATTAGGGATTGCTTTGTAGAGCCTATGTTAGCCTTGGAGGTTAGACTGAGATTGCTGAACCAGTTTGTTATTTTACCTCACTACTCACTATGTAACAGAAGAAGAAGTGCTTGTGACAGAGGTGGATTTGCTCAAGTAGTTTAATGTTTCACACTACACCTCCCAGACTGACTCAGCAGCACTACTTTGTCAACTCAGTGTAACAAGACAAATGTAAGAACACAGTGTACCATGTAGCTTATGACCTTTCTTATATATTTTCTACAAAACAATGTTGATGGTGTATTGGTCAACATATAAAAGAGAAGACATAATGCACATGTCAAAGATTTATGTTACTATATGAAGAGGAAAACAGTTTGGTGAAGGAAGCTGGATGTGACTACAGGAATGAGGAACTGGTTCTTCTTGTTTTCATGACTCAAAGTTAAATTTTATCCACAGTATCAGTCCAACTTTTCAAATTCTACTTTCAACTGTTGACTTAAAAACACAGTACTCCCAAATTGAAGTACTTCTTTTTACGCAGCATTATGAATATTGTTTAATAACTGTGTTTCAGTAACTTGTATCACTTCATTGACTCACTCTGGTCCGCCATGGAAGTTCTGCTTACTTTTATATGAATAAAAAACTAGAATCATCCTTTGTTTTTTCATTATTCTTCTAGTCATTGTTAGATCAATAAATGCATCACTGCAAACTGTAGTGTAAATGCAAACCTACATAGTACATTTACATAGACACACTTTAAACATTATTATTATTTAACCAAATAATCACAAACTCTACTACAGTGACATCATATATTTAAATTTATATTCATTTAAAGTAAAAAAGTTGAAAAAATAAGTCTACAAATGGCGGAGGAAGATAAAAACCAACTGTTTAAATATTTACAAGCTCAAACTCTCTATTTACATATAGGCTAAGCTATAAGAACACCCTAATCCAGAGTGAGAGAAAGAGAGAAAGAGTGAGAGTGAGGGTCAAACGTGACCCACATGCCACACTAACTGAATACCAGTGCATGACGCAAAAGGGGAGGGAGAGACCCCGGCGCTGTTAGCAGAAGAGCCGTGGACTGCAACTACAAGCAGTATGCATGGAATGAATTACATTATATATTTCAATACATTTAACACCTTTTCCATGGTGTGAATAAGTCAGTAAATTTGTCGCTGGTCTCTTTTTAGAAATAAAAGACACTAAGAGGGTCTGAAAAGTTGCTAAATCTAACCAAAAAGACGCCAAGTTGGCAGCACTGTATCTTTGTGTCCCCATTTTTATTGTCCCCGGGACAACAGGACATCCTTAATTTCGAGCACTGTTCTGGGCCAAATCAAGTAAAGCATTTTTCTCTTCTGTAGTCAAGCAAAACTGGCAAACAGTGACTTAGCAGAAAAAAGAGGTGTCTGTAATGAAACCTTATCCATAGAGTACAGCTCTACATCTGAAGCATATCTACACAGCACAAACTGTGAATAAAAAGCTATGTTTTTATTGTAGAATTAACAAATAACTTTGGGTAGAATACTTTCTAAACACCTTATCAATATAACAAATTCTGACATCAAACAAGCCCAACATGAAAACGTTCTCCCTCTAGTTTTCACAGCACCAAGACGAACAGCATGTTTCACTGACTGTGTTGTGTCATCTACATTGGCAACAAGATGAACTTACCCTAGGATAGACAAAGGGATGACACAGAGTCCTGCAGACAACAGGAAGATGAAGCCAGGGTACCAAGCTACTGTAACAGCATACACACTGTTGAAGACTGCGCTTGATACGTTGTTAGTTAAACTTTCCAAAAATGAAAGACAGGCAAACAGGGCTCCTGCAAAAACACACACAACAGAGTACAAAAACATTTTTTAAGAAGTGATGAATAACAACAGGATATGCCTGTAATCAGTTTAGGCCCTTTAGATTGCCCTTTGCTCAAAAGGAACAGAAACTTGGAGTGCTTTGTTTTCAAGTGCATCATGAAGTTGCTTGGACAGGCATGTCTTCATTGGACTCTGACTCTACAAACACACAGACATGGTTCTGTGGCTCCTGTAAAGCCCTAAACCAACTCACCCTGCTCAGACTTTGAGATGATCTTTGACATCATGGAACGCAGAACAGGGAAAGGCATGATAGACAGAAGCATTGGCACCCTCACTGTGGAAAACAAATAACAGAAGACAGAAATTATATTATACATCATAATGCAAGGACTATAATCAAATCAAATTGTAAAATACATCGATTCATACATGAATACATTATTAAAGTAAATTCATTGTCATAGTTGTTTAAGGTGTGTAATATGAAAAAACATATGAAAGTGACAATGGCTACATGACATTTAAAATAAAAAATGCAGTGATAATATATCATAATTACGCTGTCTTATCGGCTTACAATATAATAATCTAATAAAATACAAAAGATACAGTGTCACTTGTAACATTGCTGCACCTTGTAAATGTGGTAGGAAAGGTAGGTTCTGTCAATCAGTAACCTGTGCAACTAGCCTGTACTGTTTATTTGTGTAATTTACTGTTTTATATTACTCTTCAGTGTCCCTTATATTACAGCTAAAATGTGGCCTTTTTTTAATTTTAATTATGTCCTGTGTATGTCCTGCCATTTATTTTAAGAGCACTATATAATATATTGGAAAAGGGCCACATAAACAGAGATATTAGTATTATATTATCTACATGATTGTTAGCAACACCAAAGCATATTAGTGATTAAACATGGCTGAGGCAACAAATCCTTTGCATAACACAATTTCCATTGTCCTCGTCAAACATTCGAGCATTACTGAACTTCTCTAAAAACAGGACAAGCAAAAACCAAACCAGTTGCAAGTTTAAATTAAGCTTCTGCCCATACTTGACCTTGACTACAAGGCTTTGGTGAAATTTATTTTACTGAGGAGGACATTCAAAAATATTCCACACTATTGGTTAAAGCAGCGCAGTTGTTAGGGAAATCTTTCTCACCTATAAACATCAGTAAAGTGGTCTTAGTAAACGCCAACAAGATCATGCCCGATATGACGGACAGGATCCCCATCAGGACAATGAGCAGCTGTGGCACACCACAGTACGTGAACGCTGACACTCCCACAAAACTGGTCAGGAACACAGTGGTGGACAGTGCTGAGCCGTAGCCAATCAAAATCTCAGTCCAGCACAGTGGCTCATTGAGCTCATATAGGGTCATCAAGGACATCCCACCCACATAGGCAAAGGAGAAGCTGGTGAAGATGAGTATTAGGAGAATCAACACAGTTTTACACTTGGCCCCTGCAAACATCTTGTAGACCCCAAAGATCATCTGTTTCAAGGCTGAGCGCTGAGGAGACCCATCTGGACTAACGGCATCCGTGGGAGCCTTCTTCAGAGTCTCTTCTAGGATGAATATTGCATAGAGTAGGATCAAACACTGACACAACGCAGAGGTTACAAAGGGCCAGTTAAAGCCTGCAGCTCTCAGAAAGTAGCCTGTCGATATTGAGGCCACTCCAGACAAAAGGCCAATCATCATGTCCACTCCAGCCATGCGTAGTGTCTTCTGACGATCATCCTCACACAAGTCTGCTATGTAGGCAAAACAGCCCCCCAGAAATGTCCCTATGCCACCAAACAGAGAACTGAGAAGCGACGAGCCAATGAGCAAGTAAACGTTGAGTTCAAAGAAGGACACCATCAGGAAGGTCAAGGTGTAGATCAATGTGCCAATCAGAGGCATGATGATTGTGATCTTGCGTCCTCCCCGGTCACTATAGGCCACAAGCATGAGAGTGACAACCAAAGAGGGGACTGTGGAGAAGACCTCTGTGTAAAGGGAGAAGAGAGAGGCCTGCCTCTGTACCTCCTGGAAACACAGAAAGAGAGAGCATGGTTAGGCCTAAAAAATCATGGACTGACACTGGGCTCTCTGTATTCTGTCTGAGGCCTGCTCTCTGTAGCAGGCCTCAGACAAAATAACTGCCCTCATGCTGGCAATTATCCTGCAAACAACACAAGTTAAACAGAGACATTTAAAGTCGTGAAACCAACACAAAATTAAAGCACTTCAATTTTGCGCATTTCACAAAAGGTCTTCCTATTCAGGCCCGAAAGGAACAAAGCTTTCTACAGTACAACAGGTGCAGAAGTGGCTATTTTCAGACAAAGGATCAGTGTGTTCGCTTTCACTCCCCTGTTCCATTCTCCTTCTATGAATACATGATCAAATTAAACATTACTAATACCTTTTGCAGCAGAACACTTCTTTTAAATCCCTCTTATAATACAGCAGACTTAATTGCTGCACATTAATAAGTCATCATGTGGTCTGAAATTATAATTTAATAAGATTATCAGTCTTGAGCAAAAGTGTTGCTACTAGCGTATGTCAGTCAGTGTAGGCGTAGAACAGTTAACTTTAGTCACAGGTCTCCCTTTCATACCACCTCGCAGTGAAGAAGCTGAATCAGTTCTTTTTACCTGAGCTGTGTTGCAAGAGGGAATCCTAAAGAATTATAATATTATTGCTGAGTCATGACAGTAAAGGTTGAACCCACAGGGAGAGTTGCTGAGACAACCTGCAGTTGAGGAAGAATCCATGACAGTATATGGGAAGAACAGACTGTACCTATGCAATACATAGAGCGTTATTGTTTCTTGAGCCGCAGGTTTCTTAGGAAGCCTGAGTTTTTTTTCTGTCAATAAGACATTTCTTTCCACAAAACACACACAAAAAAAAACATGACACAACTATGTCTGAGTCAGCGTCACATGCTTAAAAAAAAAGTAGTGGGCAGATAACAAAAAGAAAAACAGGCATTTTTTTCCTCTGTCTCTAAAAATAGTTTTAAAATAATATTCACAGTATTAATACCCTTACAAAGTTCCAGTAGTTGTTATATTGTTACACAGGTGAATACTGGAGTATATTCATTTGTTTATTAAAACTTAAAGTAGAAGAAAATATCAAATATTTGTAAGAATCCTCCTTGTGCCTTGAATTACTTAAATTAACTCTTTTTTTTACATCCAGTAATTCATGACTAACCTCATGATAGCTTGAATGGTTGCCGCTGCTGTTTCCTGCACACCTGGAGGTGTTGTCCGAGATGGGATATGTGGTGTTTGATAGTTGCTGCCAGAGCCTTCGGTACACATACTGCTGCACAAGTGGATAGATGAGAAAACTGGAGAAAGCGTACAGAGCCACCACAGGCTCCACGAGGAAAAGACGCTTCATTGTGAGGAGCTGCAGTATTCCCTGAAAAAGAGCTGAAGAGAATACATTTAGAGAGACAGATAATAGGGTAAAAATACAGTTCAACTGATATGAGGTGGAATAAAAACAAAAACTTATGGCAGTGTATGAATTAGACTTTTATACTACAGTTTAAAACAAATTTAGGATATTGTAAAGCTCCATAAAGATTATTCTGTTGTTGCAAGTTTTAACCTTCAACCCTTCACTTCAACATGCAGGTACACTGTGCAGGAAGACATCCACATTTCTTCTTTAAATAGCACAAAACTGATTCAAGTCATAAGACTAAGTGTCTACGTGGAAGTACAGATAATATTTGTTTGGTTGTTTTTGCCTTCTGAGAATAATCGCGGGAGCAAAAGACTGCAATACATTATCGATCCAACACTTTCTGACAGTTTGAAACATAAAGTGGAATATAAGATAACAACCCTGTTGTGTACATTTTGTCTGTTGTGACTACGCATGCTGTAGGATGAGCTCGGCTAGCTAAATATTTAGATAACAGGAAATGTAAGAGAACAACAGCTTAGCCTTATTTTCTCATAGGATATTGACAACAACCTACCTTTTAGATGGTCACTTGGATCATGTTTTATTCAATAAAGTGATCCCGGTATAACATTCGCTTCATGAGGTCCCTCGGTGCTCTTGTTTTATAAAGACGTACGGGGTTGTTATGAAACGCCGGGGTCCCGCCCCTCGCCGCATGCGATTGGACAGCCGTCTTTCAAGGTCGCGTTTATTCGACGGAAGAACTGTCAGTCAAAGGGTGAAGCGGGCGGGCAGTTTGGGACATGTTGTAACAGGCTCCTTATCGCACATAAATGTGTATTTTAAATACTTATAAGGGACATTCTTTTGGTTAATCTTGCGACATATTTATTTACACTACCTGCCTCCGTTTATCTTTGTACAAAAATGCACGCTACCATTTCTCTAGGCATTACGGTAACGTGAGGTAGGCGTGCTTTGCGTCGGAATGTACCATTCTGCCAACACACCGGGAAGGATTTTGTTGTGACAGCGGAGTTACAACCCGGCGGGGGGAGACGGTAAGACGAAATCCATAGCCCTTCCTCTCTGTAATTTAAATCTTAACCTCCAATTTTAAAGACGAAGCCTGCATTGACAACGTCTGCACAAGTATTATATGTTTTACAAGACCGAGTCGCTCAAATTGTATGTATTAGTAAATGTCAGCTTAACATCCCGGACGTGCAGGTTAGTACCACCTATCACAATATTGTCAGCTAGCGTTAGCGAATCATAGCTATGCCTGTGATTAATTTAGCCAACTTAGCTAACGATACCAGCTAGCGTAAGATACGTGAGAAAACCGCAACCTGTTTTCGCTGTACAATTTATCTCTCTCGTTTGTTTTAATTGTATCCAATCGCACAACATCTAGCATTAAAGCTAGCTGTCGGGTAAGTTAAACGTTAGCGTTAGCTTCGCCTGCTGCAGTTTCACTACAAAGTCGTGACTGTCCGTGTCAGGATGGATGATATTTCAGTCGCCCGGCCTAACGTTATCGCTCACAGGGCTCCTGCTGCCCATAATCTCCAGCTACCTGCGATATTCAGTTTAAACTAAGATTAGTTTGTCATAGGTGTGGGCCATATTTATGTCCGCCATTGATAGTATGTTGACCTAAGGCTTCTAATTTCGCAATTAAACTTCTCTCGTCAATCTGGATCACGCAATTTGAAACGCTATTGCCGAGTATTAGGACAGATTTTCTTAATTAATTCGACACATTTAAACGCAAATATTGTATTATCTACAGTCACAGTGCTTTACAATTGTCTACATTTAGTTTTTATGATGCCTTTTCGTCCAGTGTTTGATATTACATATTTGTGTTAGTCACAACGTTACCTATACAGAATCTAATAACTCGATTTTTGATCCAAGCATCCTAAAAAGCAAGCCTCTCCAGCACTAATGTATAGTGCATCATACTCTGTAGTAGCCTTCAAATTACAGATGTTGTGTCTGATTGGTTAATGCCTATTTTCTGATCTGCTGTCGTTCATTCTTCTTGGTTTACAGGTCATAATATAGTTTTTTTTCCATCTTGGATCAACAATGGCCTTCAGCAAGGGATATCGCATTTACCACAAGCTGGATCCACCCCCCTACAGTGTCATAGTGGAAACTAGGACCAGGGAAGAATGCCTCATGTTCGAATCGGGGGCTGTTGCTGTTCTGTGTAAGGCGTTTTGTTTGTTTGCGCTGAGATTAAACTCTCCAAATAAAGATGCCACAAAGGAAATATAGCTATAAGACACATGTTGACTATCAAGTAATGGACGTGATTATGGGCTATGATTAACCCACAGGCTACATTTAACTTAAAGTTTAAGGGAGAGAGTATTACTGATATTTTCTGACTTTGTGTTGCTTTTGTTTCCAGCGGCGGCAGAGAAGGAGGCCATTAAAAACACATACACCAAGATTGTTGATGCCTATGGAATATTGGGCGTCCTCCGCCTAAACCTGGGTAAGCTACAGAATCATCTTATGTATTGATTGCTCCATAATGCAGTTCTTGTGTGACTGTGGAGGCCCTCTGGTTTGTAGTCCCGTTGCTGCCTACTTCTAAGCTGCTTTCTCCTGTCCTCTACATGACCTTGAAGGCTCTTGTTATCACAACAAGGAAAATATGGTTTAAAAGATTAAAGCTCAGTCTTAGAGATAGCTCCTATAAAGGAGTAGCACCAAAGTTTGATTAACTATTTCATGTCCAGCTGCAGCAAGCGAAGCAAACGCTAACACACGACAGCTAGCTTTAACCCAACCTTTCTTCTTTAGGTGACTCTATGCTCCACAGTCTGGTGGTTGTGACAGGATGCAGCTCTGTGGGGAAGGTGCAGGATTCTGAGGTTTTCAGGGTCACACAGACAGACTTTATATCGCTGAAGAATGATCCAGGAGATGAGGACCGGATCGCTGAAGTGCGAAAGGTCCTAAACTCAGGACACTTCTATTTTGCCTGGTCTTCCACTGGAGTCAGCATGGACCTCAGTCTCAATGCGCATCGCAGGATCCTTGAAGACACTACAGATAACCGCTTCTTTTGGTAAGACCATGACATTTTTTACTGTTCCTATGTTATAAGAAGACTAATAGGCAGGTTTTTGGCTTTAAAAATCCGTTAAGTATATGAACTATCTACTTGTTCTGCAATCTGCACAGCCTTGTGCGGTGGTGTAATAGTTTCTAATGAATGTGTGATAGGACTGTGATTTGCAACTAAGGTGTGAAAATTCACTGCTCACACTGAATTTGTTTGTGTGTTTTCTTTTGTGTCTGTTTTGATGTCATAAATCAATAGGAACCAGTCTCTGCACCTGCACCTGAAACATTATGGAGTAAACTGTGATGACTGGCTGTTGAGGCTGATGTGTGGTGGTGTGGAGATCAGGACCATCTATGCAGGGCACAAACAGGCCAAGGCCTGCATCTTCTCCCGCCTCAGCTCAGAGCGAGCCGGCACGCGATTCAATGTTCGAGGAACAAATGACGATGGACAAGTGGCCAACTTTGTGGAGACTGAACAGGTGACTGAGATCTTTGACAGTTTGATTGAATCTCTGTTTTGGTTTGAGAGGTGTTGTGATAAAAGCAATCAGTTTGATATCATAGTTGCATTCGTTTCTGTATGCTCTGTGCATGGCAATGCTGTACAGTACGATACAAAGCAGTAGTGTCCCACGTAGTGTGGAAGTCTGTGTCAGGGGTGTTTTGTGTGCAGTTAGGGCAGGTTTCAGGGTGTGCCAATCCCACAATTTTTTGCCCACTGACGTGCACTTTTTGGATTACCTTGTACGGTATGAGCTGTATGTTAGTGTTGGTAGTCATTGAGATGATGTCGTCATTGGGATTGATAGATAGATCTTGTTGCCAATTTACTGATGGTACGGATATTGTTGTATCATATTGGGTTATCAGTTTGTATATGTTAGAGACAGGAGTATTTTAGGAGTGGAGATATTGAGTCTGAAAGTATGAAACTAATGGAGGTTTGTGATCTTGTGGGATTTCCACCAAGTTGTCAGAAACAAGGATGATGTTTGGCGTATTGGCTGAAGAATAGTTTAGTGTGGAATTTGAATGTCATTGCACAAAGTTAGTTCTTTGGCTTTCCATGTGTTGTAGAACTGTGCAGTATGAAGCTTTGTGGTGTTAGTTGGTTAGTGCATTCTGTCAATAAATTATCGGTGGAATAGTTTAAGTTGTACTGGCCTTTTTAACATCATACATTTGTCTATAGAGTCACATGACCTTGGTTAATACAGTCTATTTAAACACTGGTTATCTATTGACTGTTCAGGAGCAAAGCTGGTGCGGCCTTTGAGTGAAACACTGTTGCTCCAGCATTTTGTGCCGTCACTGTAAAATTAAACTGTTAATGATAATTATAGATGCATATTTAACATTAAAACTTCTAGGAAAACCAGCAGGATGATGATGATGATGATGATGATGATGATAATATATTAGCACACTTTATTCATTGGTCAAGTTCAAGTCTGAAGCTTATTTCATACATGAAAATCACTCACCTTTTGGCGAATTTTGCCGTTTTGAAACCAAAATAGGTGACCTACGTGAATCGTGTAGATTCGATGAGAAAATGTTTTTTTTGGGAGGGGGGGGTAGGTACCAGAGATTCAGTGAACTGCGAACAGGTGTGCGTGCCAGAAGGGAGCGCGAGTGCATGGAAAGATTCGCTCAGCTTTGCACTGCAGTGAACATAGTCCAGATGCAAAGCGAATTTTAACCACCTAAAACAAGGCCCACCTAAAAACATCTATATCAGTTCAAGTGTACGTTGTATAGAGAAAATTCACACCGCTTTACATCTCCGTCAGACGGCCCTTCCTTTGGCACTACATTTCTCAACCGTATAACTCACGTATTCCTACGCATACGGCGTAATACAGTGCGGCCGCAGCAGGCAAAAGTTGCGCTTATCCGTAGGAATACGTGAGTTATACGGTATTCAATTCAAGATTCAACATTCAGGAAGCTTTATTTATCCCGAGGGAAATTACTGTGCAACAGTTTCAATACAAAGGTGGTAAAGTAAAGTACTACAGGGTTACAGTAAAAATAAGCTAACATAAAATAAAACAAAACAAACCTAAACTAAACTAAATTAAATTAAATTAAATTGAATTAAATTAAATTAAATTAAAATAAATGCTAACATAAAATAAATCAAACAATTAACTAAATGCAACAAAATGCAAGCACTTACAGGTAACATAAGTAGAAAAGAAGAAAACAAGTAACTAAATGTGACAAAGTGCAACAAAAATTGCAGTTAAACTTAGGTACAGTATATACAATATACAGCAATACGCACCGTGCAGTTTAGCAGCATAAATTGTAAGGGCCGTCTGACAGTGATGGAAAGCGGTGTGAATCTTTTCTATGTAACATACACTTGAACTGATATAGATTTTTTTAGGTGGGCCTTGTTTTAGGTGGTTAAAATTCTCTTTGCATCTGGACTCCGTTCACTGCAGTGCAAAGCTGATCGTCTGTGCTGGAGGGGCTCTCTGCTTCTCCAAACTAAGGGATCGCTGAGCAGCAGCTAATGTAGCTAACACACTGACTATAGATAAATACTTCATAGGACCCCACTTCAAAAAACCCAAACTATCCCTTTAAGGTTGAAGATCGGCAACATTTCCGTTTAATCTTTTGTTTACACTGTAGTTTATTTTGAGTCAATCCGTTATACACCGTTCTTCTGCTGCAAATACTCACTAGCTCACCAAATCCGTAGCTGAAAGTCGTCCCATTACAAATACACTGTTTGGGTAACTTTTGCCAGAACCTACAGTGCCCAGCTGTTTTAGGAGAAGTAAAGTATAGTATATTTTCATGACCTGTTTTCATGACCTTACCACATTGTGCCTCATATACTGTAAATGTTGGACCCAGTGACAGGCTGGCATGAAATGGCTTGCATAATACTTAGTAAGGAGGCCATAATATTTTTGACTCATGGCTGAAGTTAAGTTTCTACAGCTCTCCCCAGGTTGGCAAAAAATGCATCTCGAAATGCATCAGATTGATGCTTTAAAATATGGAATATTCAACATTTTCTTCCGAGGGACCATGCCACCGGACCCCCCTAGAGGGGTAATATCCTTCTCACCTGTTTCACCCCTGACCCGTTTTCATGCCTGTTATTTTGCAATCGTTTTTAAGTTCCTTCTTATTTTTTGCTTTTGTCTGAGTCAGCACATTATATCTGACTAGGAAAGGTTACTTTTCAGCTCTCCATTGTGGAAAATGACTCACTTTTCCTTTTCCTTTTTTATTGTTCCCATTTCAGGAAATAAACACAAAGCTGTAGGTTGGACAGTATAACTGGACCTACTACAATTACAAACCAATATAATTCAATGGACACTAACTACACCAATATTTGCTGCTTTAAAAAGTACCATAGAAGACATTCAAGGTTTCTCTGGAAAAGTCGACATAGAAATTGAGCAGTTGGAGCTCCATATGTGTAATGGTAATTGCAGGCCTTATTATATTGCATTGTCAGGTGTTCTGGTTGTTCTGGGAAGCTCCTGTAGCACCTGCAGCTTTTGGTCATGCAGATTAATGAATTGAGTCTCAAAAATATTCCGTCAGCACACGACAGAAAAATGTAGCCTTTCTACATATGACACGCTGCCTTTCAACACTGCCTTTCATTGTGATGCCTCCTTTTAGATTTTCTTTGTGTCCTGACAAAGTGGCCACAGACACATGCTGGTTGTGTGAAGACATTTCCTTCTCTGCATTAGGCAGTTGGAGAGGAATTAACATTTTGTCAGTTCCTCATGTAGTGTGTATGTGTGTTTATGATTGGGGTTGTTTCTGTTTTTTTCTTTAAATGTGTTTTAATAGTGTTGTATGTCTACTTACACATGTGTGACATCACATTGCAAACAAACTTAACCAAACTTTCCTCTTGTTTTGAACAGGTTATTTTCCTGGATGACAGAGTCTCATCCTTCATACAGATCCGTGGGTCCATTCCTCTTTTCTGGGAGCAGCCAGGAATCCAGGTAATGGAAACTAAATCTATCCCATGAAGCCAGCCTAGAATTGTGAATGTGAGGTTTTTCATATATTAAGCCACATTATATGAAAATCCTAAAACAGCCCTCGTGTTTGTGTAGAAGTCCTGACCATTTTGTAAATGCTGCAGTTTTAGATAAGGCTCAGTCAGTTGATTGCACAGTGTAAGTGTAAACACTTAACTCTGGTGAAGCCTATGTGGAGCTCTTGCAAAATAGGAAATGGATATCTTAACCCTATTTTTTAACACATTTTGTCCACGCTGTGTTCAGAAAAAGTCCATTAAGGGTGTTTTGTTGCAACTGAATGAGAATCGGCACCCTAAACAGCTGGATGAGAACCCCCACCTGGTATAACCTTTAATTTTTTGTTCTGGCTCTTGTGGTGTTGGTGCTTTCATCCTGCAGATAGGGGTTTCTCTGTGCAGTGTCAAAGGCCAGGGGTGAAAACCAAGATACCTGTCAAGGAAATACTATTTTTGAGATTTAAAGCAGGAACTAGGTTCATCCATTAAGCACATACCATAACAACAGTATTGGGATTCTTCTGCCCTTGACCTTACATTGCACAGACTAGTGGATAAGATCAGACGTGGGGGAGGTTAATGATAGATGTAGTGGTTGGTAAAGGGCGTTTTTCTGTTTTCCTCAGCTCCCAGACTTCTTTGGTCAGGTGAGAGCCTGGTCTGAAAACATCCCATAGCCACTTCCCTTTAACTTATTCAGAAGATATTCCCCAGGCAACTGGATAGGTGTTAATTGATAATATGGGAAAAAAATAGCTGTTAAATTTCTTAGACGACCAAGAGAAGCCAAGACTATATTAGTCACCTATTCAGCCCACAAGGTCTATGGTTTGGTCAAAACAGAGGGTAGTGGGCTCGGGGTTGTTTTCAGACAAAACTGTAGTCCTCCTGCTTTTAAAGCAATGTTTTAGCTCTTAGTCCCCTCTACCGATTGTGGCTTCGTAAGCTTATTTTCTCCTCCCCTTACCCTGTAATTCATTCCCGGAGCAGGAAGGATAGTTTCGGTTTTGTCCAGAAGAAGAGTTACTGATCTTTCTACTGTTAGTTTACATTAGAAATAGTTGTGTCTCTGAACCATACTTTTAGTGTAGTATCATAAAATCCTACTGGGTAAGCTGTAAATCAGTACATTTGTCAGGATCCCTCTTAACTGATTAGTTGTTAGAATCCTGGTTGATGACAAAATTTAGTTAATTACTTAGTTACTTGGTTGTTTTGGGGAAATAATCATTAGTGGAATTAGTAAAGGGAAAATTGTCATGTGTGGTATTACAGTTATATTCACAAATATGCTTTTCTTACTTGAATAAGAACACAATTTCAAGAAAACCTTTGAAATGATTCAAATATTGAATCAATCAATTACAGATTCAAACATCTGATGAATTAGTTGCGGAAACGGATTAATAGTCAACTGACAGTTGAGGACAAACCTAGTAAGTAAAATGAAACCTGTAACCTGTAATATACATAAAAATGTTTAGTATTATATTAGTATAGAACTGTCAGACATGAGTTAAAAGGGTGATTTGCAATTGCAACACTCCAGGTGTTATCTGTTGAGGTTGAGTAAAATGTGAAGAGGTTTTGGTCTGAGGTGTACAGCTGTAACCTGAGTCCTTTTTAGATGCCATCTGAGGAAGTTATTAAATATGCATAGCAGAGACCTTAACAACAGTAGCGAGAGGAAGGAATGACAAAATGGCAGCAGCATGGAGCAAAATGTCTAGCCCTGCCAAACACAGGCCTAGCAAAAATAGACGCAGATGAATACAAAGCAGAGGAAAAGATTATCAGGTGGTGCAAAGAAAATGAGAAACTAGAATTGTATGAACACAGAGTCAAAGTCAAAGTGCACTCAGGAGATCCCAATAATGTCCACAGAGACAATGCAGTGGTTATGATGATGGTGGTTTAGACTTAGGATGTGTGTATGTTGCTTGTGACCTGAATTGAGTGACCAGTAAAAGGAAGAAGAGGCAGAAACTGAAAAGTGCAGAAGGGATGATGACATTTTTCTTTTCAGTTAATGAGAAGCTATTAAAGACAGTGAGAGAGAAGCAAGAGAAGATGAATAACAGTAGGGAATGTTGTGCAAAGGCACAGATGAGTAGGGAACAACAAGTTAGGACCTGCAGTGCAGGGTGAGTAGATTTTCGACTTACAGCCACCGTGCGAGCGTCCTGTTAAGGTGGGGTCATGTGTGGTCATGCCTGCCTTTCCTCCTCGGTAAGGCTCTTTGGTGCCAGTATACTCTCAAAATAAGAGAGAATGAAGGAGAATTGGTGAGACCAAAAGCAAGCAAGGAACACTTTGATTAAAAGTTCCTAATAAAGGTGTTGGATGAATGACAGGCAACAATATTTCTCTGCTGCTCAGTGTCTTTGTCTCTGTATGAACAAATCACCCTATGCTTCCCCTGTGTTGCCATTGTCCTATGCCATTTTATTTGCCACTATAAAGGTCTGGTTTTCCACCGTTCAATGTTATCCAAAATTTCTATCCGAACTTCATTCTTCACTCCCAGATTTTCTGGTCATCTGCAACATGTGTGTTCGTGCAATCCTCCTTTTAAAGGATTTCATTTAAAGTAAAAAGGACACTGTGACTTGTGTCTTTTTTGTCTTTTTCTTGCTGTCTCTGCCTTGCAGGTTGGCTCTCATCGTGTCAAACTCTCAAGGGGATTTGAAGCAAATGCACCAGCATTCGAAAGGTAATTAAAATGTTTTATATAGTGTTTAGTGTATACATGTGTGTCTGTAGCAGTTTTTAGCGGCTTTATCTGGCCTCCAACAGATTAACACTCCTCTGGAGGAGAGGAGACACCATAATGCTATGTCTCCTGCAGTAACTGCCCAAGCCACGGTAGAGGAAAGCTCTCCAGACTCTTGAAGGGGAAGATGTTAATTGAAGTGTGTCCTCAGAGGCCGGTTTATTGCAGGGAACAGAAAGGGTACATTAGTAGCCTTTGATTAGCTGTCAACCTTAATAACCTTATTTTATATTATTTGCAGACAGTTTCTTTGCAGAAGTCCTTTCTTGACTTTTTGCACATCTCTTCCGGAAGTTAAATTGTTTTATAGCGCATGCAATTAAAATTGTGCATATGTGTATTAAAGCTTTTTATATCTCAGCGTTAAACAAAAAATAGTATTGAAAGTCTTCACTTATGTGTGGCATTCAAATCCAGACTATTCTATCATTTTCTGCCAATCGTGTCTTCTCAGTAGTTGTATCCTTCCAAATTCTACTTGGAAAGTTGCAAAAATAGCTATGCTGCCGTTATGGAGTGGGTCTTTGATTACTCATTTTTTCTTTACTGGCAGTAAATTGTGGAGGCAAGGTGGGCAGCGATGAATATGAGCCTTCTAAGAATCATCCACATTTTTATCTAATTCCAGTCACATTTGTCTTGTTTCCTTTGTTTTTAGAAAGTAGCTCAAGGTTCGCAAGTATCACAACATAATTTTAACTGTAAATGCTCACAAAACTGTCTGATACCGAAAGATTGATTTATATACAATATACAAATTTTATGGCCTCATAAACATGAAGTCTGTGAAGATAACCCTAACCCTCATTTTGTCTTAAACATTAAATCCCTAAAACAAATCCATTTAAATCCTAATTTTGCACCTTTTATGGACATTTTCTTTGTCCTTTGTTTTCCCTGTCTACAGACACATTACATGTGCAGGGTCAGTAACAGAGCAGCACTTTTTAGAGTTGCTAGTTTACTTAAGGACAGTTCAGTTAGATGGATTACCACAGGGACGAAACCCAGGCTCTCTAGGGGGAAGATAAGTCTCAGAGCAGTGATGCCATTCACCCAGTTCAAGGCAGCATGTTGCTAGAAAGCTATCTAGACCACCAGTGGTTCTTTAATTTCTTAAAGATCAACATCTTGGACTTTAGAGGATAGACTCAGATGGGCTGAGCTCAGTATTAATGTCATGTTTTCCTTTGCTTATTGGCATCTTGAGAATGCCAAGAGAAGGATGACAGATGGTACACCATTTGTATTTTGGAACTAATTAGTCATTTTTTCACCTTTAAGTAGTTGGCAGTGCAGCTAGTCTATCTCAATATCTGCCCAGATCAGGACTTGTGACTCATCCTGTGTAATATCTAGTTAGTTTTCAGCAGTGACGGTCTGTCTCTGTTGAAATTCCTAAGATAGTACAAGGTCGAGAATAACATCTTTTTATAAACACGGTAACAGTAGCAGAGGATAGTCTATGTCTGCTTTTCTCTCCGCTCAATGGTGCTGCCATTTCATCCATATCTACAATATATTAAACCAAAATAATTTGCATCCCTTGATCATACAGTCCTGGGTGATAAACATTGTATAGTGTATTATATACTGCTGATTGATGAATCTTGTGTGTATTCATCAAGCTTAAGCATTAGTAAAGAGCATGAAGGTGTTGCACGAAGGTATATTAAATGCTGATATTTGTACACCATTAGTCCTGTGATGTTATTTTAGACCTTAACAAGGCTTATTATATATATATATATATATATATATATATATATATATATATATATATAATGTGTGTCTGTGTGTTGTCCAGGCACTTCACTGCACTGCGGAGGTTGTATGGTAAACAGGTGATCATCAATCTGCTTGGGAGCAAGGAAGGGGAACACATGCTCAGCAAAGCATTTCAGGTGAGAGGAACCATTCTCAAATCACTCGCAGTGATTTGTTCTGCAAGAGGTTTATCTGGTGCTCCTAGCAACACAGACTTTGTCCAATAAACACTGGCAAATGATGTGTGTCACAACAGATGCTGCCTTGTTGTGTAAACCCACACAGGAATTCTTTCTTATCCCAATTACTGTATGTTGAAATCTTGTCAGGTCAAGGTATAAAAGTGCACTTCATTGATTAATATGAATATCCGAGTTAAAATTGTATTTATTTGGCAAAGCTTGAGTCATAGTTATTTGAGTGTCAGTCATTTCTATTGAGGAAGCAAAGTCAATAGCATTGCCATTTCCTTAGAGTCGAGGTCAGGTACGAGCGACACAGCGTGTGTGCATAGCATTTTTGCATTTCGTTTGAATTTCTGGTAATAAGTTTCCCCCCCTCTCTCTCTCTCTCTCTCTCTCTCTCTCTCTCTCTCTCTCTCTCTCTCTCTCTCTCTCTCTCTCTCTCTCTCTCTCTCCTCAGAGTCACCTGAAGGCATCAGAGCATGCATCAGCAGTGAAGATGGTGAACTTCGACTACCATCAAAATGTGAAAGGAGGCAAGGCAGACAAACTCCACAGTGTCCTCAAACCCTACCTCAGCAAGTTTATAGAAGAGTGTGGGTTCTTCTACTACTCGGGAGAGACAGGAATCGCAAGGTGAGGAACCAATACAAACCTGTATAAAGTAGTGTTGAATTTTATTTTTGGTATTGTCTCTAAACATTATAACATGCGTTTTAGGACTCAGGGTGGGACCATTAGGACCAACTGCCTGGACTGTCTGGATAGAACCAACAGTGTCCAGGCCTTTTTTGCCCTTGAGGTCTGACAGTGTTTTATTTTTTTTTGTTATAAAATTGCAGTTGCATTTCTGCTGTCCTTTATTTTTAAGTGATGATGCTTTTAGTCTAACCCCCCTATTCCTCACCATACCAGATGCTGCCAAAGCAGCTGGAGGAAATGGGTCTGACAGAGAAACCCCAGCTGGTGGCCAGGTTCCAGGAGGTTTTTAGGACTATGTGGTCTGCCAATGGAGACTCCGTCAGTAAGATCTACGCGGGCACCGGTGCCCTGGATGGCAAGGCCAAGGTACACAATGTGGACACACTAAACACACACAAATACACAAGTTCTGTTTAACTGTTTAACCATTGAGGCAAAAGTGTAATGCTCAGCAGGTCATCATGAGCTTCATTTAATGTAGGTTTTCATTTTGTCAGATTTTATATGTGGCATCTGATACTGTCCTAAGGGTTACTTATGGTATAGCTTAGCCCGTAACAATGCCATCCACATTTTTTTTTTCTAGCTGAGGACATGAAATAGTGAATAACAGCCTTTTATTGAAGCAAATTCAGCAAACTTTGGTACTGAATGTGCCGTATCCGTGTCGTATTAGATCTTTGCAGATGGTAGACATTTAATTGGCAACTCTGGAATAGACCTGATCCTGATAAATACTCTCCTTACTTGTGACCAGTTTATCTCAGATAGAGTATGCTAACAGCAGTCTATTATATGGAATTCGAGAAGAGGAAACACTAATAGCAGAAATGGCACAAGTTCTACCACTGTACAATAAATGCAGAAACCCTGTACTGTATGCACCTAGTCTGTCCTCTGTGTGTGTAGAGCTGTGTGCTTCTGTTTCTTAACTCTTGTGTGCTATCTCTTACTGCTCTCATCTGGACCTCTCTACTTTTGTGGTAAGTTACAAGCCAGTTGATGCGTTTTTGAGCTGTGGGTCTACTTCTGGTGGATTATTGATTTCAGTATCTGTGGGTTAAATGGTGATGATGAGGATGGAATAGGTGGTACCTCCTTAAATAAAACTTGATTTTATTCCCCTTGAGGTATCTTGGTGATGCATACCGTCCTCACCTGGCTACCTCTAGAAAGATCCATGGAGATCTCTGATCTACAGAAATTCATTTAAAAAGAAAACAAAGACAAAGTAGCCATTGTACTGGCTTGTTGAATGATCATTTTCTTATGACCGTCTTACACTTTCCAATCATAGCCTAAATTATCTTGCAACATCTGCTCTTTTGATTGGATGAACCTGGAGGAATCGATTAAAATTATCGCCATGTGGCATTAAATCAGTTGCACATCAATCAGTGAAATTTGTTGCACCTTGTGAAGCAGCTGTGATCCTTCCTGGTCAGTTAAAAAAAAAAAAACTGCCTTACTTGGATCTCTCTGATGTGTTCCTACTTTTCTTCTCTTCCATGGTTGGAGTGGGAAGTACAGACATGTTTTCACCCCAAGTGAGAGTATAGCTAATAATTAAGGTGGTGTAATCTAATTGTTTTTAATTCTGTGTGTGTGTTTGTAGGCGGGGAAGCTTAAAGATGGAGCACGTTCTGTGACAAGGACCATCCAGAACAACTTCTTTGACAGTTCTAAGCAGGAGGCTATAGACATCCTGAGGCTGGGCTCCACGCTTAACAGTGATTTGGCTGACAAAGCTCGGGCCTTGCTCACCACTTCCAGTCTTTACGGTAATTCTTTACTCCAATATATGACCTATTATTTTATTGAGTCAAAAGGTCACGTCTTGCCTAAAATGTACTCATGAAAAGTGTAACAAATACTGTCTTTGCTCCATAATATATGTTGCAACTTCCATTATTTTTTATTATGACTATATTTAAGAATTTAATTCCTGCTCCACCGGGGGTGGTTTGAATATTTTGACGAGTTTTGACCTCTTATCCATTGTTTCCCTGTTAGCAAGAAGCTACTCTGCACAATAGAAGGGTTTGTCTGCTCTGTGTCAAGTGGGCAGTGTAATCTCCATATGTCAGCCCTCTGTCCCAGTTAGATTAATACTGACCAACTGCTCTGCTAGCATTATCTGTTAAAGCACTGGTTAACCCGCCCTTCTCTCCCTTCTCTCCCTCCTGCTCTTGCACACAATCTTAGTCACTGAGCCCGTCTTACAATCAGGTATAGTAACTGACAGACTGCCCCGAGTTGGATGGATGTTTTCATCCCATCACATAGTTGTCCTATCATTTGTGTTTGCTACTCATTATTGTTCATTCATTTATAATCTAATGTTGGTTGTGGTTTAACTGTCTGTCTGTTGCATATCAATAGGATTTTGCAATAGTGAATAAAGAAAGAGGTTGCTGATTTTCAAAATTAAACATCACTTTGAGTGGAACTTTACAGACAGAAATTAACCACTACCAATGCTGATTATTTGAATGTTATTTTGTCAGATTTTTATCCTATCTCCCATGCCTCATGTTTTAGAACATTGTTTCAGCCTTCCTCTGTTGTATTTGGATGTCCTGTTGGTTTTGATTAGCGTTTTCCTATTTTTGTTTCATTTCCCTGTATGCCACCCTTCCTGCAGACGCACATTCAACCATTTTACACTCTAATCCTTCTCTCCTCCCCCCTGCAGCCTCCCCAAGAGTATTGCTGGGAATGTGTCAAAACTACCATAAATACACGAGGCCCAAGCAGATTCGGGTGTGTGTCGGCACCTGGAATGTCAATGGGGGTAAACAGTTTCGCAGCATTGCGTTCCGCAACCAGACGCTCAATGATTGGCTGTTGGATGCTCCAAAGAAGGCAGGGCATCCTGAGTTCCAGGGTATGTTGTGTTTATCTGCACTCAAGGGTGGTAGATGTCATCTCTGTAAATTATCTTTCTGAGGGCTGCTCTAATTTGTTAGGTTAAAGGAGTAGTTTAATGTTTTGGTAAATATGCTTATTCGCTTTCTTTCTGAAAAATATCACTCTCATGTCTGTATGCTTAATATGAAGCTACAGCCAGCAGCCGATTAACTTAAACTGGAAACAGGTAGTCTGGCTTGAAAGTACCAAAATCTACTTGCCAGCTCCTCAAAAACTCACTCTTTAACACACTGTTTATTTAATACGTAAAGGGAAAAAAAGTATAAAAACAACCCATTGTTGTAGGTTAAAGTAAGGTTATGTGCTGGCTAGTTTGCCTATAGGTTAGCAGAACATTGTACTAATTACTGTCATTGTAGTCATCATTTTGGCCAGATACTTGTGTTGAACATGGTGTAATATTTCTCTTTGCAGACAGCAAAGCCAACCCTATAGATATCTTTGCCATCGGTTTTGAGGAAATGGTTGAACTGAACGCTGGCAACATTGTCAGTGCCAGGTAGGTGTGCAAGATTCTAAGCCTGAGACAACTAAACTGTCATTGTCATCCACAAAGTCCTGAATTGGCTCTACTTACATTACAGAAAATCATTATGATTAAGCTTAGACCTGATCCAATAATAGGATGTACTCAGATGTTAATACTTTAGGTTATATATCTTGATGAAGAACGCAGAGGATATTGTCACGTCTTAAAATTGAACATCATAAAATGTTAATATTCCCTCTGACTCACTTTGTTTTCGGCTCGTCTGAGTGTTTTTTGTTTGTTTTTTTCTTTTCCTTTTTTTGCACTGACGCATCTTTCCGTTCTCGTCTCAGCACCACTAACCAGAAACTTTGGGCAGCTGAGCTCCAAAAAAACATATCTCGAGACCACAAGTACGTGCTGCTTGCTTCAGAGCAGCTGGTGGGGGTGTGTCTGTTTGTTTTCATCCGCCCCCAGCATGCACCCTTCATCAGGTAAAAACTGTAAACATTTGAATTAGACCCTTATCTAATTGCACTATAAATTATAGGTGTGGTAACAGATTGCCTCTTAATATGCTTTCCAGGGATGTTGCCGTCGATACTGTAAAAACTGGAATGGGCGGGGCTACAGGCAATAAAGGCGGTGTGGCCATCCGCCTGCTGTTCCATACCACCAGCATCTGCTTTGTCTGCTCCCACTTTGCTGCTGGCCAGTCACAAGTAAAAGAGAGGAACGATGACTACAATGAGATCACACGCAGACTCACCTTCCCCATGGTAATAACCATTACATTAACACATTTTGAAACACATTTTTGCGTAACTTAAGCATAACCACATCCATCTTCTCCTTGCCAGGGTCGTCTGCTATACTCGCATGACTACGTTTTCTGGTGTGGAGACTTTAACTATCGAATCAGCCTGCCCAACGAGGAAGTAAAAGACCTTATCAGACAACAGAACTGGGATGCCTTGACATCTGGGGACCAGTTGTTGGACCAGAAGAATGCTGGTTTGGTATGATGTACAGCACACGTGCATGTTTACAGCACTAATGACTTTCACTTCCTCTCAACAGAAAACAGTGAACCATAACAAGCCACCTCTAGTCTGGATTTTATAGCCCTTACTAATCCAGAAATATCTTCAACAGGTTTTCCGAGGTTTCATTGAGGGGAAGTTAGATTTTGCCCCCACCTATAAATATGACCTCTTCTCAGAAGATTATGACACCAGTGAGAAATGCCGCACACCAGCCTGGACTGACCGCATACTCTGGAAGAGGAGGAAGTGGAACTTTGACAAAACAGGTAAGATGCAAAACCACTGCAGATAAGTCTTACCACACCCAAATTATTTCCTTCCTTTCTATCTCAGACAACATTACAACACTGGCAAAAATATGTTTTAGGTCTATCCTGCTATCCTGTCTTCCTTCTTTTGTTCTGAACTTGCATATGACAGAATAACAGAATATGACAGATGGATGCTTTATCTGTTTGTCTGCCTTTGCACTGATATGCATTTGTGCATGTTTTGCAGCTGAGGAGATGAATGTAGTAGGGGCAACGTCTACATCTGGGGAGAATGAGGAAGATCCAGAGAACCCCTGGAGCCCTGGGATTTTGAAGTACTATGGCAGGGCTGAGCTTAAGACCTCGGACCACAGGTAAGTAACAAGATATATCTGTAAGATTGAAGTGCATAAATTACATGTTTGTCCCCACTGAAGTATATTTTGATGCAATATGATAATTTAAGCGGAACCGACTGATAACTAGGCTTGGTCCTGATACCAGAAATATAATCAATACCAACACCAGTAAATATCCACGATTCTCAATACCAATTCGATACCATGGTAAAAATGCCTAACAAACTCTCTAATCTTTGTCGATCTTGTCTTGTATCTGTCTAGAAGGAGTTTCTCTCTCCTTTGAAAGTGCTCTGCAGTGTGTATTTTCCTCATCTGTACATCTTTTGCACGGATTACATTAATAAATTACTCTTATTTGCTTTTTGTTCGTGGGGGCATGTACAGCTATCCACCACTCTGTCTCGCCTCTGACCGCCTGCAGGGTGTTTCGTTGCACACACACATAGCACAGCAATAGAGACACAGGCAAGGAAGAGAGTTGATGACGGAGCACTGTGCACAAAAGTTTTGTCGGAACAGCTGCACTTGTTTACAGAATTTTGGTATCAACTTGGTACTTAAGTATCGGTCTTGTGATATACCTACTGATAACATAGACTCTGAAATATACTGTAACAATGGTGCAACAAATATATGGCATTTCTCTTGAATCAAACATCACCAGCCTCAATGTCTCTTATCCTCCTCCTAGGCCTGTGGTAGCGATAATGGATGTGGACATTCTGGAGGTCGACCCTGAGGATCGGCACCAGGTCTACAAAGATGTCATTGCCCTTCAGGGGCCTCCAGATGGCACCATCCTGGTGTCACTCTGCTCCTCCGGCCCTGAAGATTACTTTGACGATGCACTCATAGACGAGCTGCTGGACAAGTTTACTCAGTTTGGAGAGGTCATCCTCATCAGGTGAGCCTGACATCCCCTACACAGACTGACATGCATCACTTTCAAACAGCTGGACTGCATCGACGGTGTACTTGTTTATGCAGGTTTGTTGAGGAGAAGATGTGGGTGACTTTCCTGGAAGGGTACTCTGCTCTTGCTGCTCTGTCTCTCAGCGCTTCCACTGTAAGTCATCACTGATTGTATTAATTACTTTTAAGATATAAAAATGCTCCTCCGAGTCTTAACATTAAAAATACAAAATGTGTATCCATCTTTGTCGTTGAAACTCAATTTTAATCACCCCTGTGCTACATTTGTGTGTCTCAAACACAACAGAAATAGCGTTTCTGCATTACTCTTTCATCAGTTGTGTACCTGGCAACCAATGTCTCTTGGGTACATTGTAGGTCCTTGGCAAGATGATTGACATCCGTCTGAAGAGTCCAGGCTGGATCAAGAGTTTGGAGGAGGAGATGAGCGTAGAGAGGATCTGTGGAAGCATCCCCACCTCGGCCAGCTCCACCCTGCTTGCTGAGGATACAGACATGGGCGACGATGATTATGATATGGAAGGTGAGGAGTGACAGCCAAACAATCCCGATCCTTATCCTCAATAATATGAATGCCAATTTATGTATGCGTTTATGTCTTCTGTACCAGGTGATGTGGACGATGAGGTGGAGGAGATCCTTCCCCAGCACCTGCAGCCTGGTGCAGGCTCCGGCCCCGGATCCTCCCCTCTCCCCTCACCCCGCAGTAGCCCCTGTCCCTCCCCCACCCACGGAGAACCTGCAGCCCCCAGCAGGCCTAGTCGTTCACAACCCTCCCGACCATCACAAGGTAAATGTAGCATGACACACACCGGGAATCAGGTTGCTAAAGGTACAATCCAATCATCTGCTCAGAATCCAGTCCCTGCCTGCTGGAATATAAACTGTAATTTTGTTCTGTTTGTAATGCATTGAAGCAGATTTAAGTCCATCATCATTGGGGACAGAATTTCCAGGTAAAATGTGTTGAATTAATCTATGTTAGAATTAGATGTGTTAGAAGGCTTGTGGTGTGACTTATAGTAAACTACTTCTTTCCTTTTGAAACATGTTTTCTAATGCAGTATGAAAATGTGTGCAGTGTTTGCTTAATATTTTCTTGGGTCTGAATGGTCTGAAACACTGAATCACAAAGTTTGTCGGTTTGATTTTCAGAAATAGGGCACATGCCTTGATAAGTGTTTGACCAGTGTGATTTGAACAGTTTATACATTTTTCTTTACTTTTTAAGGTATTATGTCATGTCTTTTTCCAAATAAATGAAGGGCAGTCACAATTGTTTGGAAACAAGTTTGAAAGGCAAAAAGTTTAAACCACTCCCTTTTCATGTATACATTTGCACCTCTTCTATTTATTTATTTTTCCTTCCAGGGCCTCCTGTCGACTTCCAGCCTGGTGCCCCAACATCTCAAAGCATGGAGCCCAAGCGCCAACCTCCCCCTCGTCCCAACGCCCCCCCACCCAGACCAGCACCCCCTCAACGCCCACCACCACCTTCAGGTAAAGTATCATACTTAACCTTCTTGTATACAGTTGATAAAAGCCTCCTTTTCTGACATTTGAATCATAGAAATATAGCTTGCACCCTTTGTCCACTAGAAGTGTGGAGATTTGGATTTTTCAGCATGGTACAGTGTGAGATACTTTAGGCAGATGTTAACATTTTCACCTTTATCCCACTGCTTCGCCTCATTCCTGAAGGAGGCATGAGCCCTCTGCCAGTTAGAAAGGACTCTGGAGGTAAAGTGATTGCTGTGGAACTGTGTTTATGTGCTTACATTGCTGAAGCATTTAAACTAGTGGCTGCTGTTTTCCATCAGACGCTACACACAGAGAAGCACATTGCATTAGTGCTGATCGAGTAAATGATAATCCAGTGAAACATATAGCTAACCATTTCTAGAGGCACACCTGAGCATGTAAGCCTGGCTTCATATATGACTATTGACAGTTTTATGGCTGTAAATCATTTGCTTTGGACTGTGACATTGTCACTGGGCTTGGGTTTAGCTTTAGCTTTTAAACTTAAAATGTTAAAACATGGGATCTTGCCAAAACTATCCACCCAAATTGGTCTCACAGTAATCTGTCATGGGGTGCTGAGTCATACTTGATTATGTACGTGTTAAGATTTTTGTCTTGAGAGGTGGTGAAGGACCACTTAGGTGAAGCTTCTTGTGCATTGTATAATCCCTCCCCATAATATGTGATTTTTGTGGATGTAAATTCCTATACAGAAAATGTGGTTTGCCTTTCAATAATATTTAGGACTATCCCTCTTCTGTGGTATATCTGTGAGCACTGTTAAAGTGTCCTTTTGAATTTATTTAATGTCCGAGTAGATCACAATGTTGTTGTTTTTTTTCATATTGTGCCACATTTTTAATCTGATGTTTTGATGTTCTCTGGTGTTCTTTATTTTGAAAATACTGTTTCCCCTCTTTGACTTTAAGACTTTGGCAAGTGTCTCAGCCCACTGCTTTATAGGAGAGGCAGTGAAGGTAACTGGTCAGGCAGCTATCTTTATATGTCATCTGATCCCTGTAGTCTTGCACCCAGTCATTGATGTTACTGATGCTTTTTTGACGCTGATGGATCAATCAAGCGTCAGTATGAGCCATCTTAGTGTTGTATGTGTACTTGAGAGAGATGTGTTTGGTAGCTTGTTGTTGTTTTTGAGAATTGATACGTTATGACAGAACAAAATCAACATTTTCTTATTCCCCTAGTGCCTAGCTTGAAACTGTGGTGATTGTATAGATGTTCTGTGCTGCAAGGATGAAGTTGTATGTGTGTGAAGCATTCATGTTTTAGAATTTATAGCTTCTGAGCAGCAGCATCCATGTTTGAAGAATTGTAGTCCACCAAGCTCATTGGTTTTGCTGATATTGAGCTTCAGTTGATTGTTGTGGCACCGTCTATCACTCCTCTGTTACTCCTCTGTAAAAAAAAAAGTGAGTTTCTCACTCATAATTATTCACTGAAATCATGCATGTCAATATAGTAATAATCTATTTTGCTTAAAAATACTAATAATACATTTTTATTTGATTCCTTCAGTCTTAACTACATATTACTTGTATTATTTAAAAAGACATGGAGTAAACTGCAACTTTGGCGGAGGCATACAAACACAAGGCAGTAATTCTAGTTTTTCATATTGTGCCACCAGCACTGCATCTAAAATCTTAGTGTGTTTTTGGTGTACTTTATTTTGAAAATACTGTTTCCCCTCTTTTACTTTAAGACTGTGTTCCCAGCCCAATGCTCGGTAGGAGAGGCAGTGAAGGTAACTGGCCAGGCGATGTTTCTTTAAATGTCATCCGATCCCTGTAGTATTACACCTAGTCATCAATGTTATAGATTTTTTTTTTTTTTACATTGATGCAGCACTTTTGACCAATTCTGCTAGGTCATCTTAATTGTATGTGTGTGTACGTGAGAGAGATGTGTTTGGTAGCCTGCTTATTTAAATGCAAAATAAGTAGGGGAATGCAAAAAACCAAGGAGGTTTAAGAGCTCGTGGGACCAAACACTCTCACAATTACTGACTTTTCTACCCCAAAAGCAGAATTTCTTCTTCTCCATTTCATATTCTGTGCTGGTTATAAATACATCCCTACAAATTAGTGTGGGGGCAGGATTGGAGTCTAAAAGTAATATCACAATTTGTGCAAGAAAGACTCCCTTTAATCAGTCACTAACATTGTCATCAGGAGGAATGAGGTTACACATATTGCAGAAGATTGTCTGACTCAAATGGTTGCACATAGTGAGGAATGGGACACCACAAGTGTGCCCTCTTTCATTATGGACTAAAAGAGTATTGATCAGGTGATTATAGTCTTTTCATTTTTATGCCAGTTGGCTACACTAATGCACTGCGATTAGTGTGAAAATCCACCTCCAGCAGGTTGATATTCAGACTCACAGCATCTCAGGCTTCACTGCTCTGCTGCATTATTCCCACCATACGCTAGTGCTTCTTGTAAAGTGTTGTCATTGGGAACACCTGCTCCGTGTGACCACTTTTTGTATAACAGTAATGTGGTTTGGTTTCCTTTGTGCTGCAAAGGACCTAAAAGCCCCGCTCTTCCTCGACCAGATGCTGCTGCAGGTGAGTGTCACAAAGCATGACGTAGCCTCACTCAGCATTAATGTAATCAGTGAGGGCACAGGATTGTTCCTCAGTTATGTAGGCTTGTATTTTTCCCACGAAAGCCCATCTTTGTGTGGAGTTTGCTTGTACTTCCTGGGAGTGATATGGGGCCGAGATTATCCCGCTGTCTACTATAATCCTGTGTTATTTGTTTATGCCCTGACACAAATTAAGCCTGTCCCAGGGTAGAGGATAGAGTTTGGTTGCTTGGCCTATTGGTGACTTGGCCTGTCTTCACCTGACCCATTTGTATGGTGTGTGTGCGTGATTAGCTGAATCCCTCTGTCACAGTAGGGGTGTGTGTGGTTAGCAGGGTTGACTTACGTTTGGTGACTTTATAGTGAAGTATTAAACAGAAGCCGACATCTAAGTCGCGTGGGAACATGTTCGCAGGCTCTGAGGGAGGGGTTCACCATGAGAATAGTGAAAGAAGAGGTGTATGTTTGCAAGCTGCGTAGTAAGCAGTTGGCTTGCAGAACAAGGCCTGTCTCTCCAGACCTCCTGCAGCTAAGGAATAACTGAGTCATCATTAATAATGGAGTTAGTCAGAGGGAATTTGGTCTGTCATAGGTTGGGGTGTGCTTGGTGTATTCCTTATATCTCTCCCTAGGGGACACATGATAAATATGGACTAGTGAGACATATTTTTGTTGCTAATGTAGTTGGTTTGTCTGTTTCAGGTCGAGGACAGGCAGCAGTGGGCGCTCCTGGACCTGGAGGTGCTCCCAGACCAGTGAGTTTACAACCCTGATTATTCATATTTTTTCCACTGATTTTTAAAGAAGTTGTTAATTCCTCCCTATTCTCTATTCCCTCTTCATCGTTCAGAATATCCCTCCTCGAGCTGGGGTAATCAGTATGCCACCTCAGTCTCGCCCGCCACATCCCTCTCACCCTGGAGCACCCAGACCCATCCCGGAGGTGCATCCTGGGGCCCCTCGGCCCATCCCAGACACCCACCCCGGAGCCCCAAGACCTGTGCCAAGTGCACAGGCTAAACCGACTGACTTGCCTCTGGGTAAGGACATGTGTTTTCAGAGGACAATATACTAAATTATTGACACTAGGATCTTATTAATATGATACAGTTATTAAAATTTAACTCTGTTCTGTTTCCTCCCTCAGGTCCCCCTCTCTCAGGACCACCTCCTACAGAGCTTGCTGCAGCGAGACCCCAAGTTCCATCACCCATGCAGCCACCCATGCAACCCCAACAAGCTGCCCCTTCAGCTCAGTCCCAACTCCCACCACCGATGCAGCCCACACTTCCAGCTCCACTCCAGCCGCAGCAAGCTGCGGCTCCTCAAGCAGGGCCCCCTCCTGCCGCTCTTGCTGGGCCTCCACAGGGTCTAGCCTCTCCTAAACCCCCACCACGTTCCCGCTCCTCTCACGCTCTGCCACCTGATGCTGCCAAGGCTGAGACAGCCCCAGCTGCGCAGGTTGGTGCCAACTTCCTTTTCATTAGATTATTGGAATTTCAGCAACTGCGCAGAACACCACCATAATTATCTACACCGAGATGTTGCTGCTTGCTTTAATCATGTACTAAAGATTGTTGCTCAAATTCTGCTTGTTTGACTGCTAAATTATGATAATTGCAGGAGGTGGAAACTGCGACAATAAGTAGATAGCCTCTTTCTGCTCCTTTGTTTCACATCAGATGAGTTTAGTTGTCTGTGTCATTCTTCCTGCTTTTGTCTCTCTGATACATTTGTCTCTCTCTCACAAGCTGGAGAAGCCCTCAGGGTGACAGGTACTTGATGTTAAACCACCTCTTTGTCTCATCCTCCATAGCACAACAGTCCTCTGCTCTGATGTTGTTACCTCTCATACATTACACCCAGTAACCTCCTCCTGTCTCATTTTGAAATTGATATTCCTTCCTTTTACATCTCCTCCTAAGTTGTTTTAACCTTTAGTCCACTGCAAGGTCATGCATTGTTTTGTGCTAGGCTCACAAAATGGAGAATTATTTTCTTTTTTTTGTCGGTCAACATATCAAATCATAAATGACATGAAAAACGGATGAAAATGTGATGTTTGTTGTTGGCCATTTTCCCCTCACTAGTCCTTTCATATCTGCTCTCCGTGGATCAAGTCCTGGGAGTGAGCACATATGCAATGACCTCCATATTTAATTTGACATTTTGTCTAATTTGTATTACTTCATGTATTTGTTTTAGAGTTGGTGATTGTGTGTAGACTGTGATACACACATAAGTTGTCAGCAGTAGTCAGTGTAATAAAACACAATATGTGTTTGTAAATGTTTTAAGTTGGCCTGATTAAAGGTACCCTGTGGAGTTTTTGACCACAAGAGGTGTTAATGGATCAGTGTTCTGATGAGCGGGTCCCCTTGTGTGTGTGACAAGATACGCAGTGGGCAATGATGCAAATGTGTAGTGCATGCAAGCCATAAAACATATGAAATACCTAGATAAATACACATCTAATCAGTTGCTTGTTGTATCAGCCAGTGTGATAGTAAATTAAAGGTTGGCCATGTTTAATAAATGCAAGGGCGCCTATATGATTTCCCCAAATTCCACTGATGGCAGTTAGTGGTAATATTAAGAAATATAGCAGCTTTCCATCAAAGGATGCAGCTTTCAAAATAGTCAAAACTTGGAGGAAATGCAGTCTCTGCAGTTGTTAAGGATGCACACACTTGGTCAAAGTAAGAAAAACTGAATGAATATCTATAATTGTTTACAAGAAAGCTCCAAGGGGTATCTTTAATTAAAAAGCTTATGCTCCATTAGTTAGTAAAACACTCCAGTAATATTAGCTCATGGTTCATATTTTCATACAGCACTTGTTGTGACAGCTGAATGGCATTTTCCTTGTTCTGTTCCTCCTTTTAGACCAATGGACTGAATGGAATCCAAAGAGAAGCACAATGGAAGCCTGACCCTTTCGACACACTTGCATCTGACCTCCTCTCCTCTTCCTCATCTCCCTGGCACACCACCCAGTCCCTGACCAGAGGCTCCTCTCTGCGTAAACCCCCCTCTGTTCCTGCGTTGTCCTCCAGCACTCTCCCTCCATCTTTCTCCCTCCAGTCCTCCGCTCTCTCAGATCTGCAGGCGCTTGGTTCGTCCTCGTCTTCCTCACTCTCCACCCCATCACCGTTCGCCTCCTCCCTGCTCCCGCCTCCCCCAGTCCCGTCTCGCAGTCGTTCGCAGGAGACGCTGCGTGCCTCCCCCGGGCCCTTCCCGACTGACCCGCTCCCTGCCCGACCCAGCAGCACCAATCCATTCACAGGCCCACTGGTGCAGCAGCATCAGCAGCAGCGCTCGCTCACACCGGACTTCAGCGTCCAGCGTCCGGCCCCAACGTTAAACCTTCAGAGGACTATGTCTGCTTTTACTCAGCCACTCATCCCCACCTCTGCTCCGACAGCAGCCTCCACTGTTGCTCCCGCATCCCAGTTGCAAAGGACCATGTCTCTGTTTGGACCATCACCCACTCTCAGTCATACACCTGCTCCTCTGCTCCCCTTCACCCATGACCCATCTCCTGCCCCCACCCCCGCCTTGCCTCTGGCACCGCCCTCGTCCATACCACCTGCCCTCGCGCCTCGTCGCCAGCCATTTCCCCCGGGAGGGAAACCGACCCAGCAGTGGGTCACTTTCGATGATGATTTTCCTTCAACCAAAACACCACAAGCCCCCACCTTCCCTTCCAGTGCCCTAGTGTCCCAGACTCAGACTCTGCCTTCCCGCTCCGTGTTTGACTCAGAGCCTGACTGGTTATCCTCCGCCCCTTCAGTATTCCCAACCCTCCCTCCTCCCATTCCAACCAGAACGGTAACCAGTAACCCAAAGCTCCCATAGGGACCCGGTGACGACTGCTTCTTCTCTAGGGAGTCGACAGAAAGATAGGATCATTCTTAATATGTAAAGGGCATATCCAGATATGTATAGATCTATGATAAATGTGTATGTCTGTGTGTGTATTGTACAAAAGAAACAGTATTTAAGAAGTATAGACCAATCCCCTTCTGAATCAAAGGAAAGGATTTATATCTCAAGCAGAAACATGAGAAGTATGAGCCTAAACGTGTGTTCTAACTTCTAACCACAGAGATGTTTGCTTGTTCCCTGATATTAACATTTATTTTAATATGAATCGTTCTTTTATTTTTATTTATGGCAGCAAACATGTGCCTGTGTCTACAGTATATAGTTATATAAAGTACATCTATACACACAAATCATGTGTGAATTCACCGGTGCAATATCAAGACACGTCTGCGTGGCCGTGCAGTGCACTGCATTCGTCCGCAAGCTTTCACCTGTAACTGTGTTACCTTTGCATTTACACTGGCTGACACACTGCGGCTCAAATCCACCATTTTGACTGATCTGTACATTGCAGCCTGATTTCTCAGTGTAGAGGGTAATCTTCAACTTTTTCAGTTTTGTCAGTTTACATGTGGTAGAAAGCTATGCACTACAGGTTTTAAATTTGCCCTCAGAATTGCTGCAGTGTGCGGCAATCAGAGAATTACTTTAATTTGCAAAGAGTTTGTTGTGAGTCTTTCTTTCTGTTCTTTTGTGTCTAAGGGGTGCAAATTTAAAAAGTATTTTTGTGCGCTTACTTTTATCATGAATGTACTTTATGTCGCACTGGGTTTTGTCATTGCCTCCTCGCCGGCACCACAGTGTGAACATGTTCAGCATGAGTCGGTGTCATAGTCAGACCGTTCACTGCCGCAGCACTGATAGCTCTGTAATATCATCTCATCCACTCTCTCTCTACTCGGTCATCATTCTTTGTCTATGGGCTGGTACGCTTAGCTGAATATATATTTTGTAGCTCTATATCAAAACCTATACATAGTGAATATGTATAAATGTATGTTTTCAGTATGGAAACTACTCGCTAAATGTGTGTGTGTTTGTGATGACCGTATCAGTGGTTTGCACAATGTAACTGATATGCACTGAAATGTATGTGCTCTCTTGGTTGTATTCTTGTTGATGGTAGAGTGACAGAAACGAGAGCCTGCGGACTGAACGTGGAGAGGGCTTTTATTTTTTACCTTTCCACCTCTGTAGTGTTTTGATCCTTCTTGATTTATCCAAAGCATTTAACCATACTATTGTAAATTCAGAGAATGTGGCATATGCCTGTATACTTCTGTTCTCTTTAAGTATGAAGGTGATGCGATTTGGGTCTGTGGACATGGCAGCAAAGACACGCATAATAATAATAATAATAAGAGGGCACTTTTTTTTTTCCAAACTTAAACTTTTGTTTACTGCAAAGGTCAAGCTTTTAATTTCTAAGGACATTTACTCTAAATAATCTATTGATACTGTGGTGAGAAGTAATGTGTTGTGTTTGAGGTGCATATCGTCTGTTGTGGTGTTGTTGTGTGTTTGGATGTGAGTGTGTGTACAGAGTAAAGAATGGAATGCCAGAGCTTTCCACCCCCCCAGTAAGTCTTCTTTAAAGTACACACACAGTGTATTTGCTTACAGGTTCTGAACCAACAACCACTGTATTCACTCGGTCATGACTGTAACTGTGTATTTCCGCTCCCCAGCCGGCACAGAGCTCTGTGGTGGCAGCACTGTATGCGAAACGATATAAGACAATGGAATTTTTTTTATTTATTTTTTTCCCACAAAGCACCCACAACCTGACTGAGAATTCCCCGGTAGCAACACGTTATTCAACACCTTGACTGAATTAACAGACTCAACTACACTGTCGGCTCGAACCCAAACGCATCTCCAAATAACCATTTCCAGTTATTTGTTGTGTCCTTCCCAGGCGCAGTGTGGCCCACATTCCAGACAGTAGTGTGATTTGAGTGTTGGGTGTTAAACTCTTCTCAACGTTTAAAGATCCACCAGTGATATCTAACCCATATCCGTTTCCTCAAGTTGAGAGTAATTGTTACTGAGCCTCACTGATTTCATTCATGAGGTAGGTGTGTGTGTGTGTATGTATGGTGTTGTCAGAGGTGATATGTCAGTATTTTTTCCCCGTACTACCTACTTCACCCTTTCACATCTATTGAGTTGTATAGGTCAGCGTCAATGCTGACAATGCTGACAAGCAATAGTTTTGCAAAAGGATCAGTGAGAGTACAAGCCTCTCTCACACGACACATGCCAGCTGTGTCCGTTTACTCAGATGTTTCCCCAACCTTCAGAAATTATGTAACTGGTTTGAAATCTGTAGTCTTAAAAGCGTTTTGATGGTTTATGGGAGGATAAAACATCTGACCCAAGAAAGTACCAGCTAACGCTTCCGCGCTTTGTTTAAACACCATGTAAAATACGTACAATAAAATAATCTTCTTTCACTGCACTGAAAGCAGTAGCTATCAATGTAAGCAAGTGTATCAGGTTGCCTTTGCTTACATGTCGATGTCATCTAAATGCATTTATTGTGTTATCCAAATGTGTGCAGTAGATAACTGTATCTGCATTAAAAGTAGGTGACTAGCCAGTGCTTTGTGTCATGTCATGTTCAAGATGATTTTATAGGAAACAAATTGCTCCTTTTGTGAGGTTGGTGTCCCTTTTTATGGCTATAATCCATAGTAAATAAGAGTCTGTGTTGTTGAACATATTCTGTATGTACTAAAGAGAAAACATGAAGCTGCGATTCATGTTAATATCCAATGTTCCATATTTTAAGTGCACAGCTGATTGCACATTTATGTATGAAGCAGTTTATGTTGTATGTATGCAAAAATAAATGTAAGTTTACCTGAATGTGAATGTTTGTCTTCTTTGAATGCAGGCTGTAAACTTTATTGCTCATAAAGAATTATACACCATAAACCTTATCACAACTCAGTTCTACAGACATTTTGTCATGTTTGTTAATCTTTATTCATGCTTGTTACAACACAAATATGTGTATATTCTATATGCTCCATCATTTATATAGTGCTTTATGTCTCAAAGCACTATGCCCTCATTTATATGGACCATAGGGTCCAAGATTTTCCTCTTTTACTTCACATGATATCAGTATACTGTGTATGTGTTTTCCTCTTTCTGTCCCATCTTCTTTTAGTAACTTGTAAGTTAAATGAACTGTCCTCTTCTCTGCTGATGTAGCAGGGCAGCACAGTGAATAAACATTTTAGAGGATGAGGAACCTAGGTTCAATTGAGCAAGGCATCACAACCTTTATGGAGTTACAACCATTGAAAGTATATACATTACAACATTAGGAATGTCTTTGTACTGAGCTGCACCCTGTTGCCCGCAGTCACCTCATAAGGCCTATTTGTACAGAACAGAGAGTTACCATCATTCGCCGTTAGAGGGCAGTGATGCTGCTTGGGAGTCAGCTAACCTGCCGTAGTTCACAAGAAGAAGTATCTGGACTGATGATGGAGCCTCATGGGATCTTTAGCAATGCAATGTCCCCGGCTGTAAACAACGTGTTAGCGTAGTCTGAACAGTGAAGGGACTGTCTTGTGTTTTGTGGTTTCACCGCACGGGTAAGTGTGTCAACCACTGTAGAGGAGCTACCCTTTAAAAGACTCAGCGAATGAATAAACAGCTAGCTAAATCAGCCAAAAGCTAAAAGCTAGCTTGGAGTTTTCTGGAAGCGTCCGCGAACGACTGTTGCTATGGTTACGCTGTTTTCCTTCTTTCGCTCACGGACACGAACTCTTCGTGTTGTTGTGGGTTTATTCAAGAACAAAGCCGCATTAAAGTTAACTAAGTTATATCCCTAAACGTCTCTTTTTTTTAGGGGCTAAGGAGGTGGTGAACTACGTTACAAGATGGTGCAGCTGCATGTGAAGCGAGGAGATGAAAGCCAGTTTGTTTTTAACACCACTGTGGACGCGCCTCTGGAGACGGTGATCCGGCAAATTACAGCCATCTACAACGGGAGACTCAAAGTGGACAGAATATGTTCAGGTGGAAATGACATAGCAAGTTCTTTTCTGCACACACTTTTATTCTTCAGTGAATTTCAGTATTGCGACAGGTGGATTTTCTGTTGAACACCTACGGTTCAACATTTCCAGCACTAACTGCACTGAACTATTACTATGTGTCTCTATGAGCTCTTGTAAAGAAGCTCTCTGAGTCCAGTGGGAACAGTGATATAAACTTGCTTGTACATTTATGAACCCTTCAGAGATCCCAGAGCTGGCAGACCATGGCATCACGCTGCCCCCCAACATGCAGGGGCTGACAGAGGAGCAGATAGTGGAGCTGAAACTGAAGGATGAATGGGAAGACAAGTGTGTGCCCAGCGGAGGGCCAGTATTTAAGACTGATGAGATTGGGAGGAGGAACGGACATGGTGAGACTATGACTATTACTTCACTTTCTATGAGTGTACTTGTGTGTTTCCTCTTTTTATCCCATCCTCTTTTAGTAAGTTGACTCTTAAATTCATTATTATAAAACTAGACGCATTGGCAATCTTCATGTTTTGTAAAATCAGGCAGTATTCATATATGGAATACCAACCTAAATGTTCAAAGTCATTTCAATCTCGAAGTCAAGAACATACCGATATACTACTGTAAATGGTGTATGGTGATACAAGCAGAGAAAAAGATAATCTGATAATCTAACAATTCATCTTTTTACCCTCTACCAGCTCCAAATGATAAAATGAAAGAGGTGTTGATGAGAACATTGGAGGATGCAAAGGCACTCATCTCCAACGTGAGTATTAGTGTAAACACTGAATCTTAGATTGTCCTGCTTACCAAGGCTCAACACTTCATTTCAGTATGTCTTTCTCTACCTCTTTCAGAAACAAGTTCAAGCTAATGTTTGTGTTACCATGGAGATGGTAAAAGAAGCCCTAGATCAGTTAAGGGGTGCGGTCATGATCGTATATCCCATGGGGCTGCCTCCTCATGACCCTATCAGGATGGAGTTTGAGGACCGGGAAGACCTTTCAGGAACACAGGTAAAAAGCTGAACCTGTTTCAGTAATCCTAGCAGCTATTGGCTGATGGACACATGAAATTAGTTTTCAGTCAACAGCAAGGGCATAAGTTAGTATGGTTTGGTGCATTTGTCTTCACTGTCTCTTTAACTTTCTCCCCCCCTCCCCCATTCCTCTGCATCTGCCCTGTCCATCTGTCTGTACCTCAGGCATCTCTGCAGGTGATCACAGAGGACGAGTGCCAGCTTTGGTGGGCAGCCAAGGAGATGCAGCGGGGGAAGAAACTGCAGGACTACATTGGCAAAAATGAAAAGACGAAGCTTGTGGTCAAAATCCAAAAGGTGAGTGCTATTTCAGCCAGTTAGACGCATATATTTTTCGGGCATATGAAAAAGCTGCGTGTGTGGTTTTATGTTTTTGTCAGCTTTGAGACTGTAATCCTTTTTTTTTTTATGTGTCGTTGCCTTCAGAAGGGGCAGGGTGCCCCAGCGAGGGAGCCTCTGATCACTGATGAGCAGCAGAAACAGATGATGATGAATTGCTACAGGAGGCAGGAGGAGCTTAAGGTGAAGAAAAGCTTAATAAATAGGTGCACACAGTAAAAAAAAAATGTTGTAGTCAATGTGCCTTTTCTAATCTAATCTGACATTTTCAGAAACTGGAGGAGGCAGACGATGATGGCTACCTGGACTCGAAGTGGTCAGACAGACAGGCCCTCAAAAAACAGTTTCAAGGCCTGGCCAACATCAAATGGGGACCGAGATAAAGAGCACTACCTCTCAGATACCCACCTTAGAGCTGCTGCTCTGACCTGGTCCTTCACAGCTCTATATGCAACTGACTAAGATGCCTTATCACACCCCTGAAATCACCTTCTGGTCTGTGTTATTTGAGGTCTTCCAGATGTGTTCATATACCTTGGAGTAAGTGTGTTTCTGAACTGAAGTGTTCACAAGACATCTGGACACACCGTATGACATATATGTATGATGCCACATTAAGGCAGATGTTGTGATAAACCTGATTTATTTGAACTTAAATGTATTCTTCCAATTGTTTTAATCCTGGTAAGTTACATTTTTATTGTGCAAACTATTGTTACTGTGCAAACAAAATAAAATTTAAGTTTAATCTAAATTTACTGTACATTTTGTGTGTAAAAAAAACACAACATCGAATTTTGTATTGACGTGTTAATATTCAACAAAGTCTCAGCGGTGGTGATTCAACTGGAACACAGTTCTACGTCCCTCGGAGTGCAGGGACAAGGATGCTACACCTTTCCTCTCTTTGTCAGTGGCACACATCTGAAAGTCGTTGCTGCGCCGAGGCAGGAAGTTGCCACATAGTAGATTGTCATTCCAACTCCTGTCCCAGCAGGGATGAGGAAGCAGGAGAGAGGGTTGAACTGTGTTAAGTTGACAGAGCAGATGCAGTGATTCAGGGAGGCGTGGCTGGTTTCAAGGAACACTGCATTTGAAAAAAACATCCTGGATGTCATGTGTAGATTTAAAGGACAGTTCCACCTGTTATACATTCAACTCAGATGATTCTTTATGGAAACTGGGATCACTTATGGCAGGTGACACTGCAACACATACCTTTCAGTCTGAACAGCTGCCGATGATGTACTTATACTGTAGGGAAAACACTGACTATTTTTGTCATTCATAATATATCAAATCACCTTTACATATTTTACATATTACTTTACATATCACATAGTTTTTTTCAAATGAGCATACAAAATGTAAGCCACTGTTGGGAAAGATTACACTTGACATTTATTAAACCACAAATTTGTCCAAGATGAAAAGGCTGTATTCTGAAATTAAAGCCCAGAGGCAGTGAGGAGATGGGAGTAACAGTGTGTAATGGTCCTTTTCAACAAACTACCTCATTATTTGGTTTATAGTGATTCATCAGTTTCACAGATACAGCTGCAAAGAGATCCCCTGATGATGAATCAGTAAAGTAATATTCTTGAATCTTACTGGTATGTCATCTACTGGTAGCTCTACAGAGCTATGGAAGACAAAAACAAGGTAGGTGCATCGCCTTAATCTATAAATCAATTTTCAATTGAATTCAACTAATTTGAATTTAAAACCCTCTCCATCCACTATGAATTGTGTGGTCCAGAGCAACAGGCTCCACCTTATGGTACTCTAGGCCAATTAGAAGCATTTAGAGATTTTATCTCAGACCTTATTACCCATTATAATGAGATTCTAGTTATTGGTGATTTGAGTTTTCTCCTGAATAAGGCCTTTGATTCTGTAAGTAAAGCCTTTCTGGCACTTCTTTTGTTGATACTTTTGGTTTCACTCAGTTTGTACATTAATCTACTCACTGCATTGATAGCACCCTTTACTTGATTCCATCAGGCTGGATTAGAGGTTAAGCCGTGTTTCTACAGAAACCCAGAACGGACAAACCAATCACTGGTTGTAGATGAGGCCTTTCACGTTTTTTTATGTGAGTCTCCTCCACACTTCATAGCCTGTTCTAATTCCCAGGTCATCGAATACAGACACGAGTAGTGTTCAGTTAACTTCACATTTACAGTAAATCCTACACACTTGTCCTTTAAGCAGGCTTGCAAAAGATTGGAAACGAGTGGCGTGAATCAAAACAGTGTTTTCAACCTCTCATGGCAGGAGTGTGTAATGAATTACAAGCATGCTCTGCCCACTGCCAAAGCAGCATATTTCTCTTGCTTAATCAGTGACAATAAACTTACTCAAAAGCAGCTGTCCTACCTGACTCCTCAACCTCCTTCCAACTTTTTAAAGATGTTTGGCCATTACTGGAACCTACAATGCTGTATATTGTTAATTTATCCCTTTATTTGTCACAGCTTTAGACTGCTGGGGTTAAACCTCATTACTAACTAGTCTCTGACCTTGATTCTTTTCAAAAGTACTAAAAAGAGTTGTGTCTCAGAAACTAGCCCTAGTATCCCAGATGATTCGTCTCCCTCTCCTTCTTTTCTCACTCTCAGAATACAGGGCTCCTATTTCTCCAGATGTTTTAGATCCTGATCTCCATCCTTCAGGAGATTCAGATTAGTTTCTTTTCTCCTACCTTTGTGAATGGTGTTGCCGGTCTACATGGACAAGTTGCTTGACATCCGCCTAGATCCACAGTCTTCATTTATGTTTCAAAATAGAACAATTTGATTGTCCATACTGTAATTTTACTATCTTGGTCTGTTCAGTAAACACATCATCTTTCATCAGAGGGATTTGTCCTCTCTTGTTCCTCTTGAGGTTTCCTTCATCTTCCCATTGAGGGTCTAAGGATAAAGGGTGCTGTATGCTGTACAGACTGTAAAGACCCTTGAGGCAAATTTGTGACATATATGAATAAAATTTACTTGATTTAAATGAACATGGCAGCTGTGAGACTTCTATCAAAACCAGTGATTTTACTATTATTTTTTAGCAGTACAAAGTATTTCAACCTGAAATCTTAGCTTCATAAATACAAGATTTAAACAGTTACAGAATTTATAACCATCTATTTTACAGCTTTAAACCCTGTTGATCCTTTAAGCTTCCAGTACTGCAGTTTCACCTGTACACTATATTCTTCACAAGGTGAGCACTGCTCCAAAAATGGTAAGACATATGAATGACTGCATTACAATGTAAAGAAAAAAACAAGCTTCTTGTTTTGTTAATAATAATAATAATAATAATAATAAAAAGAATGGGAGCTGCGGCAGAGAATCCTGAAAACAACCTGAAGGTGCTGAACAGCATCCGGGGGTCCCGGTTTAGTTAACACGAACTGCCATTCAGATAGGCATTCATCCATATCTCCTGTATGACCATCTCTCTGCGTTCAATCCTCTCGGCCCGTTCAGCTGCCTCGCTCACATAAGTCACTTCCTCCCAGTCGTACATCGCCTTCCTTTCCGCGGCTGAGATCAAAGAGCTTTCTGTTCCCTCTTCATCATCATCATCATCATCATCTTCTTCTTCTTCATCCTCATCATCCTCATCGGCGTCCTCCTGGCAGTTGCCAGCCTGGCTACGAGACTGGGGTGCGAGCCTGTGATCTCTGAGCTGGCGCCCTCTGCAGGTCACTCGGACTGACACAGCCAGCAGCGTGAACAGGAGTCCAATGCATACACTGGAGGTGAACAGCAGCGCTGCCATTTCTGAATGCTCTGTGTAGGAAATGAAGGGAGGAGGTGTATCAAACAAAGCACTAGATTCATGAGTGCATGCATGCATGTGAATAATGTTTACCTTTGATGTAGGCGTAGGTCAAGAGAGAGTTGCTCATCATTGCTCCTGAGTTGTCTGGCCTTTTTGACCCTTTGGGAAAAGGCTCCTCCAGATCTGTAGGAGGAGCTGCTGTGAAAGTTATAAGTATGATGTGAGCAAAAAGGCCACAGAAAACCTGGAATTGCAACACATAGCATGATGCAGTTACCTTTTACTGTGTCCACAGTGGGAGATGAGGTGGAGCTGAATATGTAAGGGTCTGCCTCCTTTAGTAGAGTCTGTGGTACTATTTGAAGGAAGACAGAGGGGGACAGTCTTTATATCACTGTAGACAAATTGATACAGACTCTACAAAAGGCCGTTCATCAGCACGCCACTTCCCACATCCAAACCTCTGCAGAAACTAGGCTCACAATGGAAAGACACTCACATTATGAATGCTTTTTGTCCAGTTCAGTTGATAACCGGTTTACAAGGTTAAAACACATTGTTTTATGCCAGATGGAGCCAACAGACACCAACACCAGGCTGAAGTCAAATCTCCAGATATGTGAACAATGTCACTGCATGACCTCACTGGCATTTGTGCCAATCGTAGGAAGTTTACCAGGATGTCAGTCTCAACCCATAAATCTGAGCTCACTAGTCTTATTATTCCCAGCGACTGTGTTGTTGGGTGTGATAGGATAAGAGTCTATGACTGAGATCATTAGATAAGAATCCACAGTAGGAAACTACACGTTTGCTGAAGGAACTGACACATAATGAAGAAAGCAAAAACAAAAACAGACATGACGTGAGCTATCCATAATATCATGTAAGCCTGGTCTTATTTTGATATCTCTCTCTTATTTACGACCAGGCTTGTAATTGTATCTTGTGAATGAGGAAGCAGAAAGAGTCCTACCACAAGAATAGACCACATTAAGGTACTTCCTGGTTCCTGGAAAGCAGGGGTCCCTAAAGGTCTGGTTGCTGACAGCAACAACACACTTCTGTTTGCTGTAGCATGACTTGGACACCAAGTGTATGGCCTCGTGGTTCAGACACTCTGTAGGGAACAACAAAGAGGAATTCATGTATAAGAAACACAGAGTTTGTGTGTGTAGTGAGTTTGTTAAAGTTTAACTCTAATGAAATCACCTTCTTTGGCAGCAATCTGTTTGTCTTTCGGCAAAGGAGAGTACTTATCTCAGTGCATCTGAGCTAGTTTTCTCATTCTAACCCATTCAATGTCCAAAGCATTGTTTAAAGCATTGTGTCATAACATATCAATGTTAAATTTTGTATAATTAGCTAAAATTACTAACAAATGATAATAAAACGTAACCTTTATCTCACACCATTCCCATAGGCCTTTTTCCACAGCACACACTGTCATACTAGGACAGTTGTACTCAATAACATTATTGTGAGCAGTAAATTGAGTTTTATGACACGTCTGAAACTGCAAAAAGAGGCCAATAGTTGCTGCTAATTGTAACAGAGACGGTCTTGTTTGTTTACAATAATTATACTAATGTTTCAAAATTAATGTGCCAATTATTAAAATATATTTAAATGCTACATATCATCAGTAGAGGATCCTATAACTTACAGCTGATCACCAGTTAGGGATGCTAAAACTTCCTCTTCCACTACATTAAGTAATTTCTCAAGACATTACATCCCTGGCTTCGTTGTTCGCCTTGTACAGAAGGAATCATCTGTTAGCTACCACCAATATCCCGTTGACTCACCAAATGGGGGTGGTCTTGTTAGGTGTGAGGGGCAGGTGTCAGTCTGACCCAGACTTCTCCCATAGACAGCTGCATAGATGTTCAGAACCCTGGGGGGCTTACAGCGCAGAGTCATCATCTCTCCCTCACACACCACATGTCTTTTGTGTTCAGCTGAGTGAGGGGAAAAACAATAATGATTAAGAGGTGAAGCGGATGATGGCAGGGGGAGACTGGTAGGGTTAGGACTGGGGGTTTTTGTGTTTAGCTGTGTAGCTAACCCCTTGATCAACCACCAGATAAACTTGGGCTGAGCAAGGGAAACAGGGAGCAAAAGGGTTGAGAACAGGTCAGGACAAACGGGAATTGAGCTGCTGAACTCACTTGGTTTACACTTGTAGTCCACATGGAGGTATTTGGCAGTGCCAGGACAGGGGTCCTTCCCAAACAGCAGGTGGTTGACAGGCAGCTGGCAATCTCTGTGGCTCTGACACTCTGACAGCAGCTTCTGCATAGCAAACACCAGTGACAGTCAGTACACATGAACTGACGTTACAAAGCACTGTGAGCACAATGTAAATCACGTGCAAAAATAATGATGCGCCAAGTGGAAGACTGTGGGCTGTGCCTTCATAATCCTGCATTACCATTAAACAGTCAACAGCATTCACCAGCCAGCTCATCTAAGAGTGGTGTGTTCGCTACAAAGCTAAAACACACACAGGGAGAAAACTTCTCCAATAAATCAGCTAAAACTGGTGAACACCCACCCGCACACAACTGACCCAGCAAGAGTGAAAATTGCTGTATATCCCGTAAAATGCACCTGTAGCGCAGTAAAGGCAGAACAGCTGTGGTTGTGGGCTCTGAGTGGAGGGTCTGCTCTGCACAGCCGCACCTCACCGCTCCCGTAGAAGGCAGACTGGATGGAGATGGTGGAGTGACGTGGACAGTGGAGCCGCAGAGGCTGTCCATCGCACGCGTGAGCAGAGTGACTGGTGATGATCCTGGACAGGTAGTCTGTTACACAAAAGGCACTGGTTAAGACGTAACGCACATGGAAACACACAGATGCATTAATGGGAGTCTGATTTTACACATTCGGTTTACTTACTGAAAATATAACCCTATGAGGTTGTTAGGGTTACCTCAGCTCAGGCATGAGAGTTAACGCTTTTAACAGAAAAGCCTGCATTATGAATTGGAGATGTGTGGTTTGCCAGACAGGGAGGATCTAATGAAAGATGCTATCGAGTTACATTATGGGAAATGTAGGATCCAACATTTGTGGAGCTTGGCCCATACCAGAGGCTAAAAGTCAGACCTCTGTCACTTCGATTTTCACAATTAATCTGTCTCTTGTGAGTCCCTGAACTTTATGAAAGTGCAATACAATATTGCTGTAGTACCCCTTTAAAATCCACTTAAACATATATCCAGTGTGTTTCCAGGGGGCTCACTAGGTCCACTATTACTTAAAGGGGCAGAAATAGATCTTAATGAAAAGGATTTTGACTTTATAACACTGAAAAACATCATCTTTCAATCTACATGTGTTTTCAGATCAGTTCGTTCAGCCTCTTTGGAGCTCTGTTTGTTGTCTCATGTTGCTTTGAAAAAAACTCACCCATCACAGTGCGGACTGCCAGTTCTCTTTCTCTTTCCTGGGTGGCAGACTCCGCCAACTGGCATTCAAGCTAATATGACCCACCTTTGTTGCATGGTGTGCAGATGTGATTAAGTTACTTCTGATTCAGAGGACTTTATTTTTGGGATGTTAACATAATTCATCTTGTTAGAAAAGGACTCAGAAGTGATTGAACTAGATGAGATAAAGCATTTTAAATCCTCATTTTCTCTACCAATGGACAAGAAAATGACGAGACCCCTTCTCAGACAGGTTGGCAGTTCTATGTCAATTCTCAATTGGGATCTTTGGGATAACTTGACTGGTATTTTAGGAACACTGGCAAAGTGACAAAGACTAGAAACCACTCATCTATCACACCATACATGTTTCATTCCCCCACTGTTGCTATTATTACACCAAACCTAAACAGCAACACTTCAAATTAGATGGTTTCTTGGGACAAACCCTTCCATGTGATCTTTAACCATCCTGATTTATCCCTCCTTCCTCCTCCATCCCCACCACCCCCACCACCATCAAATTACTTGAAAAGTCAGCCAGTCCATTCATGCGTCTGGTCCACAGGAGTAAAGTCAGGTAGAAGAGGCTGTGGCTCCAGTCTAGTCCGTGGCAAGGACGCGTCCAGCTCATGACCCGCATCCCCCGTCTCTGAGATCATATTAAAGAGACTCGAACATTCACTGTAGGCTGCAGGACTTCATTCACTTTAAAAACCAACACAAACAGGTCAAACGACTCCACGGGTCCGCGATATCCAGCTTCATCACTTCATCCATATGTTCTTCCTCTACAGAAAACTACCACCGTGAAGCCGATGAGAACGCACAGCAGCAGCAGTACAGAGGAGGATAGGAATAGCAGCTGCGCAACAAGTTGCTCAAAACTGACTGAAGGGGTTCAATCCGACGCGTGGTGATACTCCCTGTCAGACTTCCCTCCTGCTCAGCACCGCAGATTGCTGAATAAATGCATGTGGAAACTAAAGGCGTCTTACTGTAACAGCTGAGTGTGGCTGGTGGCGTGGGCGTGGCAGATCAACTATTTTAAAGGGAAGAGGAGAGACACGCTCATTGGTATGACGCACTGGCAGGAGCTTTTATTTTTTTCTGTCTCCCCTCCATGAGGCACATGTTTACTTTTTGGATTATGGCAAAATGCTTTCATTCTGCGAAGCTTCTCCTTTTCTGCTTTTCTTTTACCCCTCTGTCTCTCTCTTCCTTTCTTTACTACTCCTATTAACGTACAGGTGCAAATTAAAATCGTTTTGTAATGTCAGAATAAAATACTTCTTACAGTGTGAATTTGTTTCATAATGTTTAGGTAGAGGAAAGTAATAATAATTAAAAAAAATGTTTTCCTTTCTCTGCACATTCATTTTCATTATTTCTACATTATTTGTTTGATTAGAGCATATAAACATTAAAGCAAGCCCCAATAGTGTTTCTGTATTAAATTGGCCTCACAATATATATCTGGCATATATCTATCCCAAACTGAGTTAATAGATTCTTTGAAAGCATAAACCAGAATAGACAGAGCAACACTCAACATACATCTGAAAGACAAAGAAAAAATACTGGCACAGCACATTGTCACAACTTTTTAACACAAGAAAGCAACCCCTTGAATTAGTAAGCAAATATAAAATATAATGCCAGTTCCTAAAAATAGGCGAAACATTTCTTTAGTGTTAATCATGCTTTGTGTGGATCTCCGCGCGTCCCCCAAATTGACTTTGGTGGTAAGATCAAGTTCCAAATGAATGATATTTTGATTCTGTTTCTTTTCATAAACTTTCGATGCTCTAAGCATGGGGCCTTTGAATGAAGCAGGGGGCCTACTGGGTAAATTGCGCCCCAGCCCACATCCATGACCCACTCCATGGTAACCGGTCAATCTACATGTCAGACTGCAGAGCAGACCTACAACAGTCAGACTGACAGAGACGTTGGGGTCTCCACGCTCGGCTCCACGGGGGGAGAACTGGCAGGGGGAGGAACTGAGGGGGTGATATTTTGCATACAAACTGGACAACAGGCCCCCTAGTTGGTTCCATTCTCTGTACTTTAGCTTTAGGCACCCAGGGAGTGGCTCCAAAACCCCTTTCATGTGCTGTTATCCCTCCAAAGCCTGTGGAATTTTGTTGTCAAACTCAAGACGTTTCCTGCACTTTGTTTTCAAGACAAGATTTAACCATATATGTCAAAAAAGGAAATAAAAATGGCTCCTTAAATGTACCCATGATTACATTCATGGGTAGAGGTATGGTGAAAACAGTTCTGAAATATATAGCATATATGTAAGCAGAGGATATTAAGGTTCTTATGTAAAACTATAGAAATAACCAACTGGAGAGTTATGACAGAACCAGTTAGTTACATAAATGTCTTTACATATAAGAATTCAGTAGAAAAAAACATGTAATATGTACAGTATAATACAACTATTAATGCTCATTTAATGGTTTGATCGATAATCAATATGCATCAGACAAACTGGATCAAAGAAAAACCCTTATGACTTGTTAAAACACAACCCCTCGATTAGATAGCAGAGACGATAGAAAATAAAGACATAACATTTGATTAGTGTTAATGATGTTTTGTAACAAACAGGAAGAGGAGGGGATAAACTGAATAGGTCCAACCCAAGGATAGAAAGATCATGATTTACATTTTCTCCTCAACTATGGCTGGAATTGAAATAAATTAAAATATTTTGAAGCAAAATTCTATCAAATAAATTGGCAGTCTAGGGAGGTTTCTTTATTTACTTAAAGAATTCAAAAGAGGGCGACACTCATGTGATTTGTTTGAGGTCGTCACAATTGTAGGAACTGCATTTAAATGCAAAAGGACAGATTGTCAGAGGGAACCATTATACAATGTCTTCCTAATCTTAGGCAACTGCAGCTAAGGGACAAATATAGATACAAAGAAAAAGAGTAACAAAGATTTAAAGCTCTGAAGCAGGAAGTTGTAATCAGAAATGTGTCCAGCTAGACTCAAGTTAACAAAAAAGTTTGATCAACACTGTTACATGCAGCAGTTGGTTTTCAAATGTGGCCCTAATACATTGTAGAATATAAGAAGAACAAAATTTTGCAGATAATTAACTTTAATTTCCATGGTAAAAGGAGACTCACAAAGTCACCAAGACATGGAAATAATTACTTTATTATTTCTCAAGCACAGAAAACTTACAACTAAAAACAGGAAAGATTTTAACATTACAAACATCCTCACTTGAAATCCATATTCATCTCAAGTTGGGAATCAATCGCAGCCTATAAATGAAGAAACAAAATGGCATTAAAATAAAAAGTAAGCAACCACATCTCTTCCACCAGTGAATCACGTATAAAGATACTCACCAACTCTCTTTTTGCTTCTTCTATTTTCACTTGAGCAAGAGATGGACTCTGTTGTGGTTTAGAAGGTAAAAACATGACTTTAAGCCAAATACAGTAACATTAAGTTGTTTCCAAATAAATAAATGTGATCATTGGGACTCATTTTTGTCAAGCTGGATGAAATCTACACACATGAACATACATTGAATTTATCATTTATCATAAAAATATAATTTAACATAATATAACAACTTTTGGTTTTTGGACTGTTACAAGCCAAACTGAAGACAAACATACCGGGCTTAAATCCATGTAAGGCTCCAGTTTCTTGTTCAAGGGGATTATTTCTTGCTTCAGCGCTGAGACTTCCTGCGGAGAGAAAAAGAAGATGACACATTTCCAAACCTGAAAGCAGAAAGTGTTACGTCTTCATTACCAATGGTGCTTGACTGTGTTGGATGTGTAACAGCTGAAGTTACCTCAGAGAGCTGCACAATAGCCTGGTGGGTGATAGACTTGTCCATGTTCCTGGATAGAAGCTGAGCCTACAGGATTGATAGAAGAGAATGAAAACAGCCATGCTCCTTGAAAGAGCTCTGACATGACTGCTGACTGTGATATTTAGAATATTTGGATACGAGGGGCATTTACTGTTGGACCTGTCCACAGCATCATCTCTGTGCTCTAACCCGGAGGCAGTAACTTGATGCTCAAATTATACCCGGATCAAACTACAGTCTGTCTTTCTTAACAAAATAAAACTCCACAAAGGGAAGAACTGTGGAACGCCAGAAGATAATTGTCTATGTTTCAGAGAGCCACTTCTGCATACTCTTTAGAAGCATTTTGGTCTTTTTTTCTGTGGCAACATTACTGAGCTATGTATCAATATATCTGGATAGCATATCCAGATATCACAAACTCAATTTCTTGCACCTTAAGGTTTGTCTTCTTTCCCTTTGCTTGATATTGGCAGAGGGTTTTCATTCCTCATCCATATCACCCTGTTGAGTATTTTGATGCCATTGGTTGTGTGATTTATTTTGTTTTTGGCTTGTGCTGATTGACATTTTCTCTTGCCGGTGGCTGAGCACACCAATAACTAATTTAGGCCTCTTCAGGCTGCATAACAAGTTTCCATTAGTACAATTTCACTTGATATTCTCACCCAGAGCAAAACTCCCACTAAGATATGAATTTCAGAAACAAAAGAGGGCAAATTGGAAAAGGAGCACTCTTAAATATTTGGGCTTTTTTTTTAAATGTCCTATCATTTTCAGTATATAGTACAATGTATCAACACCCCAATGCACAGCTTAACTATACAGATATTACAGATACAGGTATAACACAACAGCGTACCTCTGCCCTCTCCCGTCTGTTGCTGAGCTCTTTAGCCTTTGCCGTCACAAAATCCATGTTGAGCAGTCTCTCCTCTGCTTTAGCGCTCTCCACTGCCTGAGATTTGACAGTTTTGTTGATATCTCTGAAGAGAAGTAAGCATAGTGTGTTACAGATGAAGCTCAGTATGTAGCAGTAAATAGTTTGTTTTGTGACTGGATTTTGTCATGTGTCTACACACAGTATGTATATAGTACAGTATATAGCCCAGGAATGTGCATTTGGTTTTACTAATGTTTACATGCCACAATCATCCTCTGTATCCATTTTCTTACTCTTGTAAGTTGCTCCGCAGCACCAGAGTAGCACCAAGTCTCTTTCTGAGGGCCCTGAGTTCTCTCTCAAGTCTCCTGTTCGACTTCTCTGCTTCCAGAAGTTCGTTGGTGAGGTTGTTCACTGCTGGCATAAAGCTAGACGAGACATCTTTGTCAGGGAAACTACTGACAGGAAAAGAGTACTACACAATAAACTTCAACAGTGCGCGACAGTGTACCTGCCCAGTGATGTGTCTCTGACTCCAAGCACCATGGCGGTGTCCACTAAAGAAGACAAGTAGTCAGCAGCTGGCTTGGACAAGCTTCCACAGGACAGGCCGACACCTTGTAGAAGAACATCCTGGAGATGAGCACCTACACGGAGGAAGAACAGTTGAGTTCTTACTTTACGGTGCTGTCTTACATTTCACAACACTGTATACATTAGAGTGAAGTATGTAAGGACACTGAATAATGATCTGTACTAACTTGGGTCTTATTTCCGCAAGTGAATTGCTGACATCAGGGTGGTAGCATTATTAAAAAGAAGTCAATGGGACAAGAAACACAAGTGATCTGAGGATCAAGAGAATGGATTTGAAAGAGAAAACATAGGCGAGTCTACGTATACGTGTCTGTTGTACACATCAATCACAACTTACAGATTGACTTGACATTTCAGAGCTGGCTTGTTTACAACCTATTAGACTCTTTGCAGTGATGTCACTTTGTTCCCAGATCTCAGCAATTACGACCAAAACTCAGTCTGCATCCTAACCACGAGCAGTCCAACTTCCAGTGCATTTAACTGTGAGTTCCTCACCTTCAGCCTGATACTCTGATGCTTTCTGTTTGAGGTCTTCTATGAGGAGAGCCGTGTCACTGCACCGGGCTTCACTGGACTGTGCCAGCTGGTACAGTATGTCCACTGTCCTTGTGTTGACCTCAAAGTGTGGCACCGGCTGATCTCCAAACACTGTGCTGAGCCAGCTGTTCACCTGAGGAGCGACATGACACTGGATGATAAACAAAAACGCCAACGGCAGTCACTGCATTGAAGTCGTGTAAGCAATACACTGAACGTTACCTTCGTGATCTTTTCACACATGGCGAATGACAATGAAGTTTAAACCACAACAACTAGCTGCTTAAGACCCTTAGCAGTCCTTAGGATAAACAACAACACTTTACGCTTTCTGGTTTCGCGCCCCCACTAATCATTCTGAATACTTCCTGGTTAGCAGCCAATGAGAAGAAAGAGTAATGGCCTCGCAACCCTAACGATTTTTTTTTTTTAAATAGGTTAAAAAAAATAGACGAAATTGGCAAGGAATTCAATAAATACAATTGACAATGGGGAATTATTATGTAAATGCAAGACAAAAAACAAACTCTAGATGCTAACAAAAGTTTATCCGGTTCACGTTTCCTGTAGGCTGCCAAAGATAAAAGATCAGATCAAGATAGTTCTGTGCTTATAACCTTTCTCCCCACTTAACTGGAAAAGAATAGGAGTTCTGACACGAGGGAGAACTGAGATCACTTTATGAATAAATTAATAATTTCTGGGTTTTTATTGTGATTTATTTTATTTTATTTGACAGAGCAGAGACGGAAACATCCGTTCACAGTTAAAGATCAATATTCATGCACAACAATCATGAAACATCTCGGGAAGTGTTGGGCGTAACGCATAACAAACTAACGCATTTCATTCCCATTCATCAAAGTTTTAAAATACATTAAGAGAAAAAAGTAGAAAGAAAATGACTCGTTGTTGTCTCTTCTCAGAGGAAAGCGGAAGTACACGCGGTTACACATCTCGCGTTGTCTGGATTTCACTTCACTGTCATCCACCCGCGTAACTTCGAAACATCTTGTTTGGGAAAAGCTAGTAGAAATGGCGGCGAGAGAAAAGTCGTTGAAACACCGACTGAAACATGTAAATACCACGTTTGAAGCGTCAAGCATTGACTCCACAGCCGTCGAAGAAAAGTTGTTTGGCCAAGCGGAGGAGGACGAGGACAGTGACGACGGACCTGTGGTGTTTATCTGCGGGAAGTGCAAGTTGCCTGTTGGAGATTCACTGTCCTGGGATGGAAGTGAAGACGACCAAAACCAAATAAGACTAAAGAGTGAGTCAAGGTTTTTAGATCGCCAGCTTTTATTTTTCGTGTCCCAAACAAAACTAAAGGGCGGAGAAAGCAATTTTAAGAAATACATAATCTTTGGGATCTTTAAGTTTCAGTAACTTTGAACTGCTAACGGGAAAGTTTAAAAAAAAAAAGTCGACTTGCTAAATGTCTTATAGGATGGTGCATTCAAATGCAGTTGTCGAGGTTGGGGATTTTGAAGTTACCTTGTAATTACAATGCTGCACTATTTTGCTGACATGTTTGTGATGTTTTGGGTCTTAGGGGTCACTGACAACGTCTTGATTGGAAAGGACAACCGCCTGTATGAAGTGAGCAAGAGCAAACGATCTCTATGGTAAGAAAGTAGTTCCCACTAGTGAATACAACAATGTAAAAATAATCCATTGTATGTTGTTGGGTAGATTAATCTATAACAGTTCATCACATTTTGTGAGGTGAACATATGTTTTGTATATGAAATCTAAATGTGCAAAGTACCAGTGACTATAGCTGTGAGATAACTGCAGTAGAAATAAAAAGTACAAATACCTTAAAAACTCTATTTAACTACAACAACTGAAAACCCACCTTTACCTTTATTATTGGTTTATAAGTAGTACTTGTTGAATTAAATCTGTCCCCATGTTTGTTTTCTTTTCTTTGGTCAGTCTGGTTTTGGATCTGTTCTGTCAAGGCTGCCAGTCTGTGCTCGGCATGGTTTATGCATCCACGCCCAAGAACCTGGACCACAAGAGATTTACGTTCTGTTTTAATGTAGCAGACATTGACAGGTATGTTTAGGGCTTGGTTTATTAGTAGGAATGTTTAAAGGCACACGCCCCAGTTTACATTTGTTTAATGTGATATTGATCAATTTCTGGAGAATGTGTGATGATCAAAACATAATTGTGCTATGCTGTACACCTGTAAAGTTATTTTACAAGATAAAAAAAGCATGTTGGTGCACTTTCACTAGAGTCAGGACTGTAGATTATCTGAGAAAATAATCTCCACTGAAATTGTAACCCCCTGTACCTGCATTCAGCATCCTAATATTATACTGTGAACCTTTCCCAGCTATGTGCTTGGCTCTGCAAGCCAGATGTTGGCAGCAGAGGGCCCCAAAGAGCAGCCAGTCACACTGGAGTACAGAGGCATTGTTGAACAACAGCTGACAGAGGTAATTTATTGCTGCTGCTTTTCTTTGTCTGTTTTCTCTGATATTGTGTTGCTGTGAAATAAAATATTTCATCTGTTGAGCAGAATATCTGCTCTGAAGCTCTGTTCAGTGTCTAACCACGACTGTCTCTCCAAACACAGGTTAAGTTTAGTCCCTAAAATTGTATCGTTGATGAAAAGAAAATGATGGAAAAACTACATATGTGACCTGCACATGACTCACTGTTGCATTGTGTTGCTGACAGTGGTCACATTGCTGTAGAGCAGCTCTCATTGATTATCAATGCACAGGTTGTACTAATGATGACATCAGCTTAGTTCTGGGAAGCCCGTACTCCTGTGACGGGCAGACGTTTATATCAGACATTACCTCATCTCTCCATGTCACCCCCTGCAAATAGATATTTTTCATGGCAGTTAATATTTAATTGAAATAAAGAAATATATTTTCTTTAAGTTTTAGTTTCAATATTAAATCCATTTTTGTTTTTAATTTTATTTTCTGCATATTTCAACTTATTTCAACACAGAATTCTCTTAATGTTTGTCACATTAATATTATTATTGTTATTAGTATACAAATTCAGAGGGTACTCACAATTCTTGGATTGGAGTAGTGTGGTTATTCCCGAAGTTATTCTGAATCATCCTTTGTTTAAAAAAAATATCCATAAAGCCACAGATTGGCCAGTAGGTGGTGATAGTGCGCAGTACTACCTGCCAGCCCTCCCACACACTTGCACCAAGGACAATAGATATGATAGGGACCATGTGGAGGAATCTTTGTGAGCGGAAAAACATGTTTTGATCATGAAGTGTCTTTGTATGTATGGCTGGATGAATATGTGGCATTTTATCTACTTGGCAGTGACAGTGGATTTTCCTGCAGGTGACAGCTGATCCATTGCGTGAAGAGATGTTATCTGTGTAACAGACTGTATAAAAAAACAAGTTATGATCAAAGGGCAAGAAGAAAAACATTAAGATTGGGCAACAAAACATTAGTCGTGCTTCTAAGTCCTTATGGAGACTTGCGTGTGTGTGTCATGTTTGTGGGTATTACCACATCAACTCCCATGTCGTTATTCTGTCAGTGGCTTCGATACAATCAGTTATCTTTTCTCTTCTGATCAATGTTCGTGACCTACCAAAAACAAACACAATTCAAAATGAATCAGCTTCCTCGGTTATCTCACGCAATGACATACTTGTCACCATTGCAACAATGTTTGCACAACTTGTGTCTCTCAAACAAAGGGCCGCTTCAGGGCACCGTCTGATGAAATGAACAGGCTAACCTCATATACTCTTTGGTTAATATGTAGGTTACCGCTTAAATCCACCTCGTTATTGACTGTGTTTAGTTCTAGGCTGAAGATTAATCTCACTATAGTACATGATTGTATTCATTTTAGGTGGTTTTTATTGCCATCAGTTGTCGTTGGCCATTGGCGCACTGTAACAAGATAATAGGTCAAGAATTAAAATCAGTGCTTTGATTCATTGCACGTCTGTCAGCGTATATCGTTGACTGACCATTTCTGCTTTAAAGTCTTAGCATTAGCATTGTTTTTGAGCTGTTTCCGCTTAAAATAAGTATTTTTGCCAGTTTGGATTGGGTTTTATCTAGACAAAGTTCTTGTAGCATTGCTTGTGTTTAGACAGTTTAACATTCTGTACATATATTTAACATTTAAGTTCGGCTACTTTTAAATGCTAAAATGATGAAGTGGTTTCATCGATTACTTGATCAACAGAAAATGTTGTCATTTATTTAGCAAACATGCCAGCCTTTTTAACTGTGATGATTTGCTGTTTTCCCAGTTTAAATGGTGAATTGAATATCTTCTGGATTGTTGGTCAGACAAGACCCTCACTGAAGAGTTCACCTTACGAGAGCTGTGGGAACTAGTTAAAGGCTTTTCTCTGTTTTCTGACATTTTATAGACTAATCTGTTTAAAAAATTGACTAATTGACATGAATGAAAGGATGAGATGAACATAATCATAGTTTTAGCCCTACTTCTTTTTTTAATTTAGCATATTAGTAAGGTATGGAAAAAATATTTTTTATATCTGTACGATAAAACTCCCGTATCGTCACTAGTATTAAAAACAGCACCCAGCCCCACACTCAAGTGTTCTTTGTCCTCGGCTGTACCATATCTGATGAAGGTGCCCATCACCCCTGCCGCCATACTTAATGTATTCTGTCTGTCTGTCTGTATGGCTGGTAGACACTTGTTTGGGTTGTTCATCTTGTACACTCAGTGACCTGTCTCCCCCCACCCCTCCCACTCTCTCTCCCCCCTTTATACCCATCCATCCCTGACCACTTCCCCTCTGGGTTTTGTCATTCTCCCTCACTGTCCCCCTTTTTCCAATTATCTTTACTCCTCCCTTCTTTCTTCCTCACTGCTTCCTGCTGCTCCCTTCATTTCCCACCTGTCCATTTCCTCTCCTTCGTTTCTTCGCCGTTCTCACTCCTTCATGCCCACCCTTTCCATCCTCACTCTTTACTAATTTTTCTGCCCTCGCCGTTCATCTTCACATCCCCGAACCCTGTCAAAACCCTCCCCATCTCTCCTGCTTGACCCCTATCCTTCCCAGATGAAAATGCTGGTCATATCCATGGCGCACAGGCTGGAGGAGATCGAAGCCGGCCTTCAGGAGGGATGTGATGAGGCATGACGGTGACGGACATCAGCTTGTCTGGGTGGGTGCTTTGTCCAGGTGTTGAACTTGAGGTTTTAATATCCTCCCTTCCTCGCAGCTACCTTTACATTAACACTTCCTCCTTTAAGTTTAAATTTCAGCCACACATTCCTTCAGTTACATTCCCTAGTCTCACCTTGTGCACAGACACACACACACACACACACACACACACACACACCACTTCCACTCCGCTTTGTCCTGATTACCGATGGTGAAACAAAGACTGCCTGCACTTGTAATCAATCATGTTGTCAGCTCGGCTCCTGTGGCTCATAGCACCATCTTCTTTGTACGTCTCGCCGCAGACCGAATGTACACTATGAGCAGAATGTTTATTTGTGCAGGATTTCATCAGGCAGGCTGCAGACTCAGCACAATGCTGTATTGATCTGGCCATTCGAGGCCACACACACACACACACTATTTCTTTGTTCTCTTCCTCAAGCTCCACGCTTGCTTGAGGGATTGCAGGATGGATATATGCTTTTTATCCAGAAGTGAACGTTGGTTTAGGGACTTTGGATTCATCGTTAAATACTCAAATACTCTTTAATATTCCCTGCATCTCATTTATTGGATATTTTTGTCACTCACCTCATTGCTGTTCTGTCTTTTTCCAAAATACTGCCAGAATTTTAATTTGTTATTACATTATGGGTTGTTTATTTTTGTTTTGTCTGTTCACAGTTGTACAAGTTTTGTCTGACTTATTTTTGTGTAATAAAGTATTCAACTGTTTCCAAAAAGGATTTTAAAAATGCATTTCAATATTGTCAGTTTTACATAAAGAAATGAACAAATGAGACAACTTTAAACGCTCAGGATAATCTTTTTAAATGTTTCTTTTTGACTTTGTGCACTGTGATTGTCGGGGGATCAGTGGCTCATCCAGCTTTGTCTCTAATTAGAAGTATCTCTTGGATTTAAGAGTTAAACAGCAAGTTTAAGGTCTTTGGGGGTGAGAAGGAGGAGGAGGAGGAGGAGGTGGTGGGGGGGTTGATTATATATAAAAGGCTGAGTGTTTGTTTACCAACTCTGACTTCTAATGTGCCTAGCAACACTTTCTACCAAGGCGGGAAAGCGGCTGCATGCTGTACCGCTTGCCCTCCCTCATCCACGAGGTTTCATCAGCCTCACAGAACAACAACAGTTAGAAACGGCCAACCAGCATGCTGTATCCAAGGGCAGGTTGCGATGGCAACTGGGAGCACGTGCTATGCTGAGTGCCTGTTGCCATCTCGTCATCGCGTTTCACCGCCAGAGGAACAGCCAGCCAGCTCGCTGGCCGGCATGCCTGTCAACAGACGTTACCCCCCCTCACTCATGCTCAGACACATACACGGGGGAGGAGTCCTGAATGAACCTCCACCCTAATCTCTGTGTGATGTTTTTCTCGCTGCAAACCCCACCCTTGCCCCTTTTTCTCCCTCCCCCTCTTTCTAAATCTCCCCTCCCTCAACTGCTTGGGAAAAAAAGTCAAAACAACAACAAACAAGCCGCGTGTTTTTTTGTTGTTGTTGTTTCTGGTGGTGGTGTTGGTGGTGGGTGGTGTTGTTGTCTCCATGCAGCCAACCCAGAGAGTGGATGATGCAAGCCGGTCCAGCCAGTAACGGTCCAGACTTGTGCTGTTACGAGCTGTAACAGACTCATTTCGGAGAATATGTCCCTGTTTGTTTTGTTTGTTTTGTTTGATGTTCCATTCGGAGTAATAAAGCTTAAAGGCTAGAAGCCGCATTTGACGTGAGCGTCACTGTGAACGGCTCACTGAATGCCCTCTGAACTCATTTAGCTTTTTTATATATAGACACGGTGTTGCTGGATGCATTGCACTACCGAGTGCAATTATTGCACCGGTTTCACCCCACTCACCCCTTAAGTCTCAACCAATCACTGCCAGCCAAACCAAGGCCGACGTAGAAACACAAACACACACACAGGCAACAGTCAGTACATCTACACACATCGTACAAGCACTCGGGGACAAAGGATGAATAATGCAGAGGTAGTGTCTGAGTGAAAGCCCTCCCCTCTTTTCCTCCTTTTCACCTTCCCTAAGCAATAAGGAAGCAATGTTGCCATGGAGGCAATGAAGCCTCAGCACGCCGTCAACCAATTACAGCCTTCCCTGTGTGAAACATTGCACCAATGGCTGCTCGAACTGATGCTGCTGTTGCCACAGACACTGAAATCCTATTGGCTGGGCTCTGCTCTTTGATTGAATTTCTGATCTTGTTTTTGAGAGAGAGAGAAAATATCTCAAGGAGTGCCACCTGTGTGCCAACTTACAAAATATGTTTGTTTTTTTCCATGAAATGAAAAAGATTACTTTTGGGATAAGGAAAATGTTTCTTTTTTTGAGAGTTTAAGAGACCTAAATGTAGTGCCATTTGAGGTTTTGTAATAAATTGAGGAGGAAAGTGATTTTCTGGTATATTCTGAGGGTGTCAGGGTTTTTTTTTTTTTTTTTTCAAATAAAAGGTGGGAAAACAAACAAATTTAAGTAATGGGAATATTGATCAGTACTTTTTTTTCATTCAAATGTAGTTTTCTGCCTTCCCATCATAATATTTGGTTTCCCCCTGACAAAAGAACCACACCCCACTAGTTGCTCATAGCTGTTTATGACCAATTCCTGATTTAACTCTTTATTTTCCATCACACTTGTCCAAACCCCACGTCCACTGTGTTCCATAACAGCCACATTTAGTCATATTTAATCTGCACTGTGCATGTTAATTTTCAGCAACAGTTAAATTAAATTTAATAGATTCTATCGTATGATAAACAAAACATCTACTTTTTAAAAAAGAATCATTATGTGGTAGAGAACCAGCCAAACATTTGACTCGGTTGATCGCTGTTACTTCTTCTCACATGGTTGGTTGCATGACATATGCTTCACCAAAATCTTCTTTTTAGATCTGAAGTCATTAAGACAGTCTGGTCTGATCTCTTGTGTTGGACAGAGTAGACAGCAGATCAATTAGTAAGCCCCTTAGGGCTAGAGGTTAAGTTTCCCACATTAATCTCAGGAATCAGTGGGTGTAAGATGATCTTGGTGTCAAGAGCATTTGGGAAACTTAGCTCAGTTTTTTGTTGTTGTTTTTTTTACAGGCAACACCGCTAGGGCGAAAGCGTAAAATCTCTGATAAGCCACAGCCTTCTCGTTTCATTAATCACCTTCATCTGTGTCTGTGATCGAACCAGATAGCCGGCCAGTCAAGAGAGTCGTCTGTCGGAATAACCCAAATCCCCTCTGAGTGCTCAAAGCCTCCTACTTCATTAGAAAACATCTGCTTGTTTATTTCCCCCCTCACATCTTTGTGTACGCCGGTGTCTGCCAGGTCGTCTGGTTGTCTCTCACTCTCTCCTACTCGTCCTCTGCTCTGTGTGAGAGCTGCTGAGGAAGGCAGTACTGGTCTGTGAGGGTGAACCAGGATGCATAGGTTGTGTGTGTGTGTGTGTGTGTGTGTGTGGGTGTGTGTGTGTGTGGGGGGGGTCGGGCATGCACGTCCCTGGTGTTCGCCACTGTGTAGCAGGTTAATCGTCTGTTTTTCTCAGACACAAAGGCTCGTCCCGTTGCCAGTGACACCCTGGTGTGAGTGTGTGTGTGCGTATATGTGACGAGAAGGGGGCTGAAAACAGGATTAGTGTCATCAGGATCTAAGCCTGAACAGATTGACAGAAATGAAGTCCTGCTGTACAGTTAAGTGGTCAGTTTGGCCTCACATTAAAAGTAATTTGAATATTAAAACAGGATTTTTGTGTGGTCAAAAACAGGAAATGAGCAAGTCTCTGGTGAACGTTTATGAATGCCATCACTCGGTTCTTGAGTACAAGGAGGAGATTGGCTGGTTAAAGTGTCAACATTTGGAAGGACAGCCTACATGTCTCCAAGGTGTGGCATATGTCTGCTCTCTAGATAGATGATTTATCTTGTTTCAATCTCAAATCTCAGGGGTTTATGAGTCAAGATGAATGGCTTGGTGATTCTGACAAAAGACCTCTAAATGTGACGTATCAAAGTATTTTGTCATCCCTGGAGAAATCTGTCATCCCAACAGCTCGGTGTCATTTTTAGACAACATATTAGTTAGTCACTTTTCTCAATATTAAAATTCCCCCGAATATGATTATGGTGAAAAATATCAATTTGTTGTCAATCCCTGCGGGGACGGTGGGGTGGATGTTTGTTTATCACAGACTCGTCACTGTAACTTGACCTGTTTACACACAGATTAACGTTGAAATAATCTGTCTGTCAAGGAAAATTATTTTTCTGTCTTTATCTCATCAGTATGGATTTTCTTCTTCTTAAAGCTTCCCGAGATTGTACATAGATTAACAACTTGCTTCCGTATACAGAATCCCCTAAAAGGCAACGGCAACTAACTTTTTTTTTGCATTTTATTTATTAATCTTACTCTTTAATAATTTAATCTATAAAATGTGCAAAAGTAGCGAAAATGTCTATCACAATTTTACAGAGCCTATAAGGTGACTTCTCAAATTGCTTGCATTTTTGCTTGATTTATTACTTACACTAATTAAATAAAGAATTATTGATTAATCTTCTGCTACATGGCAGTCTGGTTAAACTGTTACCAAATCTGGTGTGACCCATCACTGTCCCTCACCTGACTGTTCTGTTTCTTAAAACATAATCATCCACCAATAACAAGAGGTGGCTTTCTGGGAGCTCCACTCTGTAAGGACTGAGTATTTTTTTGTGTGCACTACTACAGGTGTCACCAGAGCAGCATTGAACACTTAGGTACAGGTATTACCTGTACACGCTCTGTGGTGTAAAGTATCCTTTCGCTCAGCGCTGTTGTTAAGCCACAGTATACATAGCCACAGCCTGTTTGTCTCAACGGACCGCCCAGGGATTTTTGACTAACTGTCCGCCTGTCTTTGATAAACAAAAGGCTCCGGCTCTAATGCATTTTAGAGCCACTCTTGCCCCTCGGCTTTTATCGGCTTAGCCACGCCGATTTAATCGGACGGCCCTGTTTGTGTTGTCCTGTGTGTGTTTGTCTCAGAGCTCTGGTGATCCCCCTTCTTTGTCTCGTCAGGGCAGTGTCACCCAAAGAGGTTTATGATGGGGACACAGGAGACACAGCTGAGTGGATTAGTGTCTACAGTATGTGTGTGTGTGTGTGTGTGTGTCCGTGTGTGAGGGAGGGAGGGGTCATAATATGTGTGTGTGTGTGTGTGTCCGTGTGTGAGGGAGGGAGGGGTCATAATATGTGTGTGTGTGTGTGTGTGTGTGTGTGTGTGTGTGTGTGTGTGTGTGTGTGTGTGTGTGTGTGTGTGTGTGTGTGTGTGTGTGTGTGTGTGTGTGTGTCAGTGTCAGTCCTAAGGATCCTTCAGCTGTTGCAAGGCTGGGTGTTTCTTTTTATACCCACCACAGGTGTCCCGTGGGAAATGTGGATGGTATGTGAGAAAAAGGGCACATTGAGGTTGTAATGCAACAGAGACCCTTCCATAGCAGAGAGGCTGATCTTCATTAAGTCGTCCTGGAGCTGAGAGCTTTAGGAATAAATTACACGCCTCAGGCTCTGTGTGAATTATACATACATATTAACACGAATGTTGGATTCTGTGGATTATGCTGAAATTACTTACTTAATTATAGTAATTTAAGTATTAATTGTACATTTTGTCAGCTAATAAAAAGTTGTATATTGGCATGTGTGCGCAGATGGAAGCCAGACAGTAAGCAGGTGCATTTGAAAGACCAGACAGACACGTAATGGATTTAGTATAAATATTTAAAATACTTTATACAGCATAGAAATCTCTTGACACCTCGAACAAAACCATCCATTACAAAATCTTACAAAAGACCCCCCGAGTCTGTATCAATCTCAGTATCAACCAGAAAAAAGTTACAAAGACAATAATTTTCAAATGGTGACAGTACAGTTCGACTCGTGAGACATTGCATGCAACTTTTCATTTGGACAGGAAGAGATTCTACAGTTTCTTAACAGTGAGGAGCCTCGTGTACCTGTGGAAGCCTTGTTGTGGAGTTTTTACGAAGCCACTAGAGTGAAAATGTCGGCTCGACAAACATTTTAGAATCCCTTCGTACAGAAGTGACAGGAACACAGGAGTCGTACTGTTATTTACAAGCACAATTTTCACATCACTCTCAGAGAGCTCTTGGCAAATACTCGTCATTGCAGTTAACATTTAAGACTATTGCACAAACTACAGCTTTAAGACAAAAGGAAGTGAATTATTATCATGGGTGTTGCACGATCCTAGTAGCAGTTCTTTCCCACTTTGATCAGTTTCATAAGGCTTCTGTTGCTCTGTTTTTTTTATCTTTTCTTTTTTTTTCAAAACTGACTGAACAGGTATATCCTCCTGTGAAAAAGTCATAACTAAGACAGTTTTACAGTTTCCCCGTGGGTCATAGAGGTCGTCTAAGACTTGTATATAAAAAGTTATAGCTGTGAATTGGTATCAGTGTTGAGTGATTGAGTATGCTATAAAAAGTGAGAGTATGACTCTACTTTTGGTACCTACTTCTATTTCAGTGTGTTGATTCTAATGGCACTAATGCTCAGACACTGCAACACTGTGGCAAAATCCACACAAGCATGTCACAACCGACAGCTGCTATACATTAATGTATGAATAATGCAGTGAGGTAAAAGATGGTAAACGCCGTTGTTACTATAGGTTTTGGTTTTTAAGAATAGTGCAGTGAGCTTCTACATCCAGTCAGCATTGAGGATACAGTGCCAGCTGGCTGGAAGTCAGTGGGTATCTTAAGAGAGTTTTCACAGAGACAAAACATTTATACATGTAATCAGGGTTAGGGTTGGGGTCTGTTAGCTGGTGAGAATCAGTTTGCGGCTCAATTAGTAACCAGTTACAGCAATATTACATAAGAGAGTATCTCTTAACTCAGTGTATAATACAGTGTTCTGTGTGTATACATGTCTGTGTGTGTATGTGTACACCTTGTTGGCAAGGCCCATATTACATGATGTCCAATGTCCGAGCTATCTAGGACACAGCGAGGTTTAGTCATCCCTCCGGGATCTGTTTCCAATCTCATCTTCTCAGTGTCAACACCTCTCATTACATAAGGAGAGCAGTAACATTTTTAAACCCCTTCTTCTTTTATCTTTTTTAAATGATCAAGTCCGTCATGAAAAGTGGCTCAGTCGCAATAAAATAACAATTCACAGTTCAAAAGGCCGCTCTGGAAGACCTCTCTAACTTCAACAAAATGTTGAGAGGGGCCTTGAGTTCAGTCTGTCTTTCTTTCATTTTCTTTTGTCTGGTATCCCTCAGCAGAGGGTCTTGAGTGCACCTGAAGCACAGAGGAGAGTCTGCATGGGGTAGGGAGGGGGGGACACCACTTCCTCAACGACCTGTTCTGGCCGGAAGGAGAACGGCTGCAGCTGGACC